CAGGGGCCCTGCCCTACATGTATATAAGCCCATGAGGATCTAAGGGAGAACCTTAGATTCATTATCCTATTGTATGCGGCTTAAACAGCCAATTCACCCCCTAGTTGTGAGCATAAGGCTAAGGGCCCTTTGAGCCCCTTTTTCAGACTGCATACCACTGCGCGCGTCCTCAGCCTAGCCCTTGTGGCAGGCTTTTTATGTGGGATCATTTGTGCAGGTCACAAAAGCAGACTTGCCCTTAATTGGGTTAAGTGCTTTGGTGCTTTGTGACACTGGTATGGTTTCCGATCCCTCGTTACTTTGAGTCGGAAGCACAAAAACCAATTGCGTGGCTGGCTCCTCCTCCGTTCTGAAAAATCGACTGTCCTCGGTCGATGGCAGATTACTCAGAAGTTGCGCTCGGGGAAGTACTTGGTGCAAAAAACTGTTCATGTGATCCACCCAGTCATCGAAGTTGATGTCCTCGATCAGCTCTGGTGGAGGGTCGCCTGGCTGTCTCGGTCGGTGTGATAATCTGTCTGGACCATGCATGACTCCTGGTATGTGGACTAGTCAGAAATGATACATGAGGATCGCGATGACCCAATGATTGATGCTTGCACTTGGTGTGATGTCTGGGTTCTGCAACATGCCCTTGATGTACTTGGCATCGACTTTGACTATCAGATTGCGAACACCGATCAGATAGACCTTGAGTGCTCGCAAAGCACGATATAGACCGTAGAGCTCAAGCTTCGGTTGCGAAAACCTCTTCTCGCGATCGTTTAGCGTGATAGACATGAACTGACTGAAAAACCGCTTTTTCGATCTGTCGGTCACGCCCTGGCACAACTGAAACCCAACTGCGATCGGAGAAGTGTCGACTGCAAGGATAACCAGTGCTGATGAGTCGTAGTCAATCGCTCGCAAAGCTGGTGACTCCAGTAAGGCCTGCTTTAGGTCTTCCATCGCTTTGAGCTGTGGCTCGCCGAACTCGAATGGAACTCCTTTCCGAGTGAGCTGCACAAGCGAGTGAGCTCACTTTGTGAAGTCTTTGATGAAGATCCTCGTGACTCCGATCGTGCCTAAGAATGCTCGAACTTCTGAAAGGTCCTTGCATGGGCCCCAATTTTTGACTGTCCAGACTCGCAATTCATCTGGCAATCGTCCAATCAGGGTGCACCTGTGTCTGACGACCGTGATTTCTTCGGCGCATAGCGTCAACTTTGTTCCTGAGAAGGTACCACCTGCATACTCCATTTGCTGCACAATCCGATTGAGATACTGGAAGTGCTCCCAAACGAATTGTCGGATACCATCGTTAGCTGCGATCGTCTCGAAGCTTCCGTCGGACTTGACATATCTGGTCACTGGACCTTTGACTGGGACGTCATCGATGTATGGCATGGTGAACGTAGAAATTTCCGATTGCAAAATGTATGTGACGTCGTCGTGGAAGATCGGTACTGAGTTGGTCCACCCCATCAGAAGGGTGATAAGTCGCAAAGCTCCAAATGGTGTCTGGAAGGTTGTAAGATCACAGAAGGTCTCCGCTATGAGTCGCTCATCATATCCAACATACAAATCGAGCATGGCTCCACGCACGTGACTGCCGAGCTGTTCTGCTAGATGTTCTGGAGTCGGCGTAACTTCCGAGTGCTGGATTGTAATGGCGTTGAGTGGCTCGAGACTGTAAACAAGTCGCAAAGACTTTCCGTCTTTCTTTACAACACAGAACCATCGTGATCGGTAGGATGAGTTCGAGGGCTCATATACTCCGGCATCCAGCTTCTTCTTGATAATCGCACAAACTTCCTTGTAGATCCCAGGAGGAATCGGAATATTCCTCTGAACCCAAGGCTGATGCGGTACGACTGGAAAATCGATTGGCGGGAAGTACTCCAACTTGAATCTTCCTCGCTCGAAATCGCTCCAAGCAAATGCCTGGTTATGCAAACACATGAATGCGTGCATAAGAGCTCTCTCCTCTGGCCATAAGGATCCTGGCTGGTGCACGATATCCAAAGCCTCCATGTGTTCCTTCGTATAGCGACCAGTCGGAAAGAAAGGCCTGGCCGCTCTGGAAGCTCGGGTAGGTGTCACAAAGGATCTCCAATTATTCGTCGGATGATACAGAATTGCTCGGGTACCGACGCGATTACTGGTCGAGTTTTGAGCATGACTGGCTTATACTTTTTCTTGGTTGCAGCATAGCCGGCTCTCGAGCTTGACTCTTGATCGCAACCTGGGTCTATAATTGTCTGTAGTAGTCGCGAAGTCGAGGTTCGAGGTGTCGGTCGGAAGTCTGAGGTTACTGTGTACAATGATGATACTGCGTCGAGGACTTGTCCTGATGCTCGCAAATAGCTTGACTGAACGGAAACGAGATCGGAAGATACGACTGGGGAATAGGCTGATATACTAGGGGTATTTGTGCTGCTTACATCAATGATTAATGCCATCCCGCTGCTTTCGGTACTCATATCTTCTGCTAGTGAAAACCCAGATCCTTCGATCGGAAAGGCTGTGCTCTGACTCACGGTGGTCCTCTCAGTATCGTGGGTATCATTGTGATTCTTTCCGTGTTGGGACATATGATTGTAATCGTCTGGTTCTCGTCGAAGAAGTTGCGAACTATGCTCTTAGTGAGCACATTAAATGGTCGTCCTAGAGGAATGTCATAGGCTGCTGTGCGAATGATGTGGATCTGCAAATATAGGACGATCTCTCCGACTTGGAAAGGTACATTGCGAACCAGTCCGAGCGACTGGTCGACTTCTCTGTTCGCAGACTGCATATTGAGCTTTATTGTTGGATCATAAATGAGTCCCAGCAAGAGACAGACGTCTTCCGACATTGCGACAATTTAGCATCCTGGGTCTAGAATCGCCTGTACTCGCTCTTTGTTGTTGATGAGTGTGACTATCGATTGCAATGCGTGCGAGCCTTTTGCGACTGTTAGTTGCTCTGGCTCATCTCCATTAGGAATGTGCTTCAAGTAGGTGTCATAGGGATCAGGTATTATTGAGCCTGTCACTGCTAAAGGCTCCCCTCGACAGGTGAACTCCTCTTCCTGTCCGATCGTAGCGCTGCTGTCTTCCGCATTTTCGAAGATTGTTGCCATTCCAGTCACACTTGGAGGTACTACATGCTTCAGTGTGCACGCTTCATGATACTTGTTGCGCACATCTGGCGATATCGACAGCAACTCCTCCATGGACAATGTGACAGCCGACGACTTCATCGATCGCTCGAAAACCGTAGTCGCAAGCTCTGACTGGTAGACTGGTGGGGCATTGCGATAGGCTTCATCTCTTGCTCCTGGCTTTGGGGCTTGACCGAAGTTACGTGTGTTTGGTGGAATGTATAACACGTCTCTAGTTAATCGGAAAGGATGCTCTGGCACTGCATCCATGACTGCTGGAACTGACGTACTCGGCGCACTCTCAGTGGCCTTCTCTGGCTCCGCCTGAGGTTGCGCTTGCTCGGATGCCTTTTCCGACTGTGCTGGCTTTGTGGCTAATCCTGCTGGTCATCGTGGTGGCATATGAACTCCGTTGAAGACTGGTCGTGATTGCTTTAAGTTGAATAGCTCCTGTTCCAAAGCTTCGATCCTATCTTCTGCGCCTAGCGAGAACGAACTTGCTTTGTCCTCCGAGACTTCGAATAGATTCGCCGCTGAGACTGATGCTGCGACTGGAGTCTGGTTGCATCTGTGCCACTCGTAAATGTGATCGTGAATCGTAATGCCTGGAATGGTGCGAGGTACGAAGGTGCCATTCGGTAGGACAACTTTTCTGGCTGCGTTGCATAGGCACTTGCTGCTCTTTATGTCCTCCTCGATGTGCTTGCATGTTCTGATCATGCCTCCGGCTTCTCCGCAATAGTGGCAAAATCCACTCGGACTTCCATTCGTGACTGGTGGCCTGCTCACAGTCACAGCTTGACTCCCATTCTGCTTCACAATTCCACCTGTCGCAGCTGCCGTGAGCATCTGGACTGACTTGACCAGGCTCTCAATAAGCAACAAAATATCCTCGCTCTTGATTGCTGGTGCGCTACTAGTCAACATAGTTATAGTCAGCTTTACTGTGGTCAGCCCTGCGCTAGTGCCATGCAACACAAACTTTGTGGCCTCGTAGACGTCGTTTACCGAGTAGAGATCATCTGGGTAGTGATCCGGCTGCTTCAGCTGCAAGCATTGCGAAATGCGACTCCACGACTCTGGTGGAAATCCTCGAACGAACACGTGATTGCGTTCCGACTCCGAAATGCGGTTCTTGCCAATGAGAAATGAGGTGATGGCTAGGAATTCCTGATGATAGTTTTCTAGTTCTGTGATCGTCTGAATTCCCAGTCAGGCTCGCTCCCTGACTAAGAGATCCATGTCTCGAACTTCTCATTTGCGCTCTGTATCTGCGCCTGGATACAGCTCCTGTATGGCTTGTCGCACATCGACATAAGTCTTCGTGGGATCAGAATATTCTGAAAGCGACTCCACTAGATCAGCAACGTCTATATTGAGATAGCGTTTCACCCACAGCTTCTTTTCCGCTTCATTCATTACTTGGCAATGCGTGAATAGGATTTCTAGGTCATCGAAGAAGTGAAAGAGGGTTCTGAGCTGATCGGGATCAAAAGTGGGTGCCGATCGATCACCACGAAACGGCATCTGATTGGTTATGATGGTTCCCATTTTGACTGTGGCTGTGGGGGTCAGTAAATTAAGTGTCTGGGTAGGGTTCTGGACTGGATTCGATGCCTGTTCTGCTGCGAAGGCTGCTTCTAGCTCGTCTAGAAGAGTTCTAAGCGGGATTTCTTGTGATGAAGCCTCAGAAATGTGTTCTGACTAAGCTTCCGCAGTCGAAGACTCCGAAGAATGATGTGATAGCGGGGTAAGTGAACTAAGTGGGCTAGCGATTCTAGAAGCTGGTGATCTCGATCGCGAAGCTGAGGAACGTGTTTCAAATGATGGAGATGGTCGGAAATTGGCTACGTGGGGTCGGCCTTCTTCTGCTCGCTCGAATTCTCCTGAAACTCGTGAAGTCGCCTGAGCCTCTGATTGAACGACGAGAAGACTTCTTCGTCCGATGTTTCACCTATAGTGGTATTTCCAACTCTGTTTCAAGGGGATACCAAACTGCTTCTTCAGTTTCTGATCGTAAGGCTGACGACTCAGTGCTGTGGAACTTTTAAATCCTCTCCACCCCTCGCGGTGGGCTCCAGGAATGATATGCTCAATCACGTCCTGGCCGTGAGCAGCACTTCCTAACCAAATCCCTCTGATCTTGGCAGGCGAACCGGGGCTCGTCCGTCCACGGTCCCTTTGGGGCTACAGTCACAGGAAACTTCGGATGATAATGCAGCGACGGGTGGCTGTGAGTCGTTCAGCTGTGTGTGCTTGAAACAGAGTGAAATACCACGAAAAATGCGAGTCAGTGAGTGTCGGGTTCAATTATGGAGATAGGACCGACTGGGCAACAGTCGAAAGCTGAAGTGTGGGGGTGTGTGGGAGTGGAATGCGATTGGCGACTCCTATGCTCGCAAAACGGTGATAGCTGAGGGTCTGGGCTGAGTCATGAGGACTAGCTACTTCTGGACGAAGCTGGGTGAGTGCTGATGATGAAGCCCTAACTTCCTCCGAACTGGGTTAAGTGCCAACGACGAGTCCCTAATAGCTACCGAGCTGGAACGAGCGCTGACGACGAAGCCCTGGGCATCTAGAACTGGTATGAGCACCAACGAGGAATCCCTGGGTGCTAGTGAGGCTACGGGGTTCGATGGGAACGGGATCCTGGTTTGGACTCGTGACTAGTGGTGTGAGAGCGGCAGGTGATGGCGTGAGACGACGAAAGCACGATAACGTGGCTTAACTGGCTGAAACCCGAGTCGAGCTGGAGGCCACTACTGAGAGTGCTGCCCCTCTCAGTGTTGAGAATCCCAGAGGTGTGAATGTGATCGCAATAGATGTAGACGTAGTCAGGCATGACGCCCTAGCGTAGACAAGACGAGAACTGAACTCTGCTGCGTGGGGAAACTCTTGTGGAGAACTTCCTTCTTCTTTTTCTTTTCTTCCTTTTTATGTACAGTGTGGATTATATAGTGGATCGGAAATGAGCCAGCTGAGTCGCTGAAACACGTTTCTGATCATACATTAGGTTTCCGATTCATTGAAACATGTCGCAAAGCTCGCTCCTGCCCCCTCTCCGTATCCTACAGTCGGGGAACTGGAAGTCCGGCCCTGCCAGGGTTTGTCGGCCCGCTACCCTGCCTTCCATTCATTTAGCGCACTTGTTCATCTCCGAGTTGCCTAACCGGTCGTGTTCCATTCTTGCACTGTGCCTCGTAATCGGCTATGCTTCTTCATGGCTTTCTCATTATTTCTGCGCCTCATGTTCCCCTTCTGACCTCTTCACGCAGTTCCATTTTCCCAGGCAGTCAGCAAGGCCTTCCTTTGCCCACTCTGGACTGTTCTGGCTTTGGTGTTTGTTATTCCGGATGACGGTGACTCACTATCCGATTGTGCAATAGTCGGACGCAATTTCTGGTGTTTTCCGATCGCAGAATATCTCGGTGCGTATCACCGTACCTGTCACTGTCTATCTGATAAGTTTTGACTATACAGTCAATACACAGGTCTGTGGCATGTCTGTGTGGTAAGGTCAGGCCTGGTCAGATATTTCACCATGTCGTCAGGTGGGTTTGAGATCATTTAGGTGCTCGAATGCCCGACTAGAAACCTCATTGTCTGGCTAGTATACGATAGGTATCGACAGGTGCAGAATTTTGATTGATTCACTGTAAGCTACCAACTGTACAGGTTTTTTGTATGGCACAGTATATTCATCTTTCATCCACTCTACCAGAGAATTCACGATAAAGCCATCCTATAGAAATTGCATCTAGCATAGAACACGACTCGAATTGAAGCACGTACTAGAGGAGCAACATATGCTATATTGTACTCATTGCAGTCCTTCATCGAATAAGTCATGATCAGTGATTAGATGATAGGCAAATGTGACAAATGTGTGCAAACTGATCTGGGCTGGCATTAGCAGCAACGAGCGAGGACACACACTGTGCTACAGCACTGGGCATCAGCGCGCTCATGCATGCACACTCTCACATCTGCTCACCAAGCTCTGGTCCGAGGCAGGTGTATGTGGACCACCCTGAGGTGTAATGGTGCTGTTCGCGTTGATGCCTTTGTTGCGCCCTAGGTGCAGCATCGATGAACCTGCATGCTTGCCATCTCCATCTTCGTTCTCCTCCATTGAGGTGCTTGTATTGAAACTCATAGCATCTGTGGAAGACGAGACAGATGTCCTCGAGATGTGCCGTCCTGCAGCAGAGCAGACCAATTTTGGCTGAAAAAGCACAAAGGGTGTGAGGAGGAAGGGTGAGCCATCAGAAGGCAGAAAGGGAGAGATCTGTGCGACACAATAGACAGCTGTCTCCTGCAAAGCAGCAAGTCAGGTGTGCTGAGACAAAGAGCCAAGTGCATGATTGAGAATTACTCACTCACTGATTGTATGAAGCATTCATTGCACTTGTTTACCACTTACTTCGTGGCTTCTGGTGTCAATGCTGGCGGGCATACATAAATGAATCTTAAACACAATATATGTATCAGAATGTTAGATACTCACAGTCAGCAACAAGAAAGAATCTAAACTTTGTACTCTTCTTTCCCTGAGAGCTCTGGATGAAGTCGAGAATGATGACATGCTCACCTGGCTCCTGATGAACTGACGAGCCAGACAAGATATGTGCAGCAAAGGTGGAGTAGTCAGGAGAATGATCACACCATTGCGAGTCACTATGTATGTGCAGTTCTGCCCTGCAAATGTACGCGAACCTGATTATATTCGGTAAAAGTGCTCTAGATAGGATGCTGAATTCATTGAATGGCTGAAAATGAAAGAGGGCTATGCTCACCTCATCTCAGTGACCTTGGCCAGGTGTAGCGGCCTAAGAGAAGGTTAGAACTAGATCATCATAGTGTTGGTAACATTACCTACTACCTTAACAGACTGCCACACTATCGAGAATGTTGTCGCATATCAGGAACACCCTATATATGCGTACTTTGAATAATTAAGAGACATGAGTTGGTACAACGAGTGTCACCATATAGATTGATCTTGTCGCTGTCTCCTTTACCCACTGCTGTTGCCACAGGTGAATTGTGGCAGTGTGATGCTAGCGCAAGATGTGAAGAGCACAAATGGAGGACCGAGCGGAGAGGCAGTTGCTATGGTAGAGAGAGTGCACAGATGGGGAGACATACTGAATATGGTAAAAGAACTTGAGATTGAATAATTCGATTGGGCTGCAGGGACAGGAAACTCAGATGGCACAGGAAGCTTAGGCTTTTTGCGATCACGGTGCATGAAGGTGAACATTTCTTTTAGTTTTTTTTTGTCATCGGACTTAGATGCGAGCGCAGACATGGATGGGCTCAGGCCGGAGTCATTACATGAAAGAATGTTCGAGTAGCCAGGGGTGCTAGGAGGTGGTGGTGGCAAGGAGAAGTGGGTTGATGGTGGGGGCTCGAGGGGCTTGTGATCACCTCAGGTTAGTGCTTGAGCGTTTGAGTTAACAGGTACGATGCGCCTGTGGCCACTCGAGGCCATATTGTCCTCTGCTGCATGCTTTTTAGAGTGGAAGGTAACATGCATCAGGAAAATCTCTTTTTAGCCCCATAGTGCCTTTTTTGTCCAACAAAAGGTACTAAGTCCGAAATACTCTGACTCACGTACAATTTGAGATACTGGACTATGGTTTTGAAATTGTAAGCTATATCGAATAAATGAAATCACACACAAGCACGGTGGACTAAGGCTAAACCTGGATTTATAAAAGCTGGATATGTACTCTACTATCTAGCTATGCCTGTACATTACTGTCTGCAACACTTATCACAGATTAAAAATACATGACTGGCTGTCACAGCGCATTGTGACTCCTGCCTAGAAAGGCAAGAAGCTGGCTGCAAGGTGCTGTCTGTGTCCTATGACTCATCGCCTTCGGTGGATGATGACATGAGGTGAAAGGGGCTCAAAGGGCCCTTAGCCTTATTAGATCAATGAGAGGTAAATGGCCATTGTAGGCCTCATGAAATAGGTGAATGAAACTGGGGATACCTAGTTCCTCATAGATGCTTATATACATGTATGGCAGAGCCCCTGGCACTTGTGCTACTGTGAGACCTCTGGTACCTACATGTGAACATAATGCCAGAACCAGTAATAGTTCTGGTCTCACCATGACAACTACCTATTATTGGCCGTGAGGTTATCCAATGAGATAATTGTATAACATGGTGCCACCTTGTCGGTGACTGAAGTGGAACCACTATTGAGTGGTCAATGGGATGTCTACTACTTAGTAAGGTGCCTCAGTGTCACATGGGATAGCTGAGCCTTGCGGGCTTTGGTGATCGTAGTTGAGTGCTAGTTAGGAGTCATGTGCTAGGGGCACTTGTGTGGGCGCTTATCTAGGTCACGTGACTGGACATGTTCCTGGTAGATTGTAAGTGGCTTCCTGTGATGCCTTTGCCTTGTGTCATGTCTAAGGTTTGTACCTTGGTGTGATGCCAAAGGTACGTTGTAGTGAGAAAACCATGACATCACCCCCCTCAGGTTTACGCTCTGAGTAAACCATCAGATTTTGTTAGGTGTTTGTAGGTTGACAAGTGTGTGGGTGGTGTAATAACGTGTGTAACAGTTTAGTGGACATGTTTAGGTCCTTGAGCGCTCAAAGATGCCAATTAATGCAGTTTGTAGTACATGCTTGGGTACTTGGGTAACATTCTGTAGTCGAGAATGTTGTTATAGGATGGTACCATTGTGTTGGTTCTGCCGTGATTTGTAATGAGCATCTCGATTGACTTTCCAGATCGATCGTGATCCGTGATCCATGGTGATGATCTGTACTAATGGCTGTGCCTGTTCCTTTATGATGTCGATCTTATAGGTGGTCAGCAAATGTTGAGTGAGTTTCGTGGACATTCTCAGGTCCGTGTACATTTATGCTTTCATTTTCTTTATAGGTGGTTGACTTGTGGTTCGACTCGTTGTCGCCTTATAACTTTTCCCTTTATAGAAATGAGCTTGTATGCAAAACAGTTTAGTGACATTGTTTAGGTCTAGTGGTGCTCAAAGCTGCCGGGTAAAATAGTTTAATGACATACTCAGGTCATTGAAAATGCATGATAATTGTAGAAAGATGCTGTTTTTGGCTGCAGCGTCGACCCATCAGTATCATTCTCCAGATACCAGATTATCCTAATTTGGGCTTCTCCAGGTGTCGAACACTGTCGTCAGTCATTATCGAATTCACACGTTCTTGTCATGTCCCCATGGATGCTTCCACTGCGCCATGGAGGTGGTGAAGTACCAAGTTCGAAACTCGACCAGTATATGTTTTTATCATATAATCATAATTTGTCAGTCTGTGTGGGCGCTCAAAGCTGCCATTTCTTGTCTCGTAAGCCCAATTATGAGGGTAGGTGATGTTGTAATGCTGATTACGTGTTGTACATCGTGTTGTAGTGTTTGCAGTTTATTGACTTTGTGCATAGGTCTTAGTACCATGTACACTTGTAGTGGCGTGGAAGGTGTCTTCAATGTGCCTTGTAGTGTATGGTCTGTTACCAGCTGCTCCTTGGTCTAAGAGTCTGACACTTCATTGCAAGTTTTCTCCACATAGTCGTGAGGTTATGTATGGTAATCTTGTTGCCAAAAAAGGTATCGCTGTGTCCTTTAGTGGTCCTGTAGCGTATAGTAAGTGTCAGGCTCTCCATTCTGCGTGTTGAAAATGGTGCCTTAATGCAATGGGTTTTCCAGTCCCTTGCTGGTAGCAATAGTCTCTTTATTTGCTCTATAGTGACATTACTTTGGCGAAAAAGTGTTATGCTGTGCTTTTGTAATTGGACCTGGCTTTGCCTAGTCCTTCAAGGATGGGGATAGTGGTAATGCTCTGCCCCACTGCTAGAGAAGACCTTGCGTATCACCAGAGAGCAGTTCCTCGCTGTGCGCTACACTTTGCTTGTGCAGATTGTATCCTTAAGGGTTGTATCTCCTATTATCTCACCCTCCGCTGGCCTCGTCCTGAGAGCGAAGCATGGAACATGAATGCAGACAAGAAACAAGATTTTTGGTGTGGCACAAAAGGGTGGGTGGGTGGGAGTGAAATTTTCGTTATACCGAATTGAAATGATGTGGTAAACAAAGTCCATTTGACAGAAATCACATTGTATGCACTATCTTGATGTGATTCTGAGACTGATCAATGGCTGTGAGTTCTCCCGTCTGGTGTGGTGCTATTTGCCTTTTTTAGTTGAAGTCCTTTTCTGGGTGTCCTTGTAGATGCTTTGTTGGGTCTTAATTCTGCCCACAGTTAATAGTTGTATAAACTATCGTGCGCTTGGATGCTGTCAACAAAGCATTACTTTGTAGTATTTGTTCTAGACTTGTGATCCCAGGAAGTGCTTCGTGTGTGTAATATATATATGGTGGTTGACCAAAGAATCCGTAGAAGTGCTGGGGTCTCATATTCTAGATAGGAATGCCATGCACAAGGTTTTATGTTTTCCCAGTAATGGAAAATGCCTGTTATAATATGCAAGTTGCCTTTTATAGGATGTGAGAAATTGCCTTTTTAGAGCTTGCATGTAATGGTAGTTGTAATGTGAATGATTTTGCGCTGTCCAGATACTTATAATAATGCTCTGCTATTTTATGTATTAGTGCGCCTTTCATTTATGTAATATTCCATATTGCCATATAGGTTGCTAGTCTAGTGTAGCATTGTTAATCTACTAATAAATGTGCGACCCCCCTCAGGTCTTCTTCAGGGAGTGACATGGCTTCAATGGCTGTTCACCCTAATGGAGGTGCAAAGGAAGCATGCATGCACTGTTACCTTATTAAAGGCAGGGAGCGGCTGATAGCAAAGTAGATGTCGATGTGGAATAATGGTGAAAGTGGTGTGGAAAAAGGTGCGCCTCACACTGGAATGCCTCTGGGCTGAAAATACCAGTCCTGTGTTGGGTACTCTGGCAATAAATTGACAGTTTTTATGGATGTTGTCTAGGTCCAATCAAAGCCAGTCATGCATTGGGTACTTTGGCTGAAAATGTGCCTGGCCCACATTGGGTCCTCAGGTCACCCTGCAAGCAGCCAGCTCTTTCATATATCTCTCACCCTTCCCATCGCTTGCATCGCCAACATGTAAGTCTTGGGCTCTTGTGCCACATCAGGGTTCAGGGGGGATTATAAGGATCAGGGGGGATCAGGGCGGCACGTTCCACGTGACCATTCCTTTTTAGTCTTTTTGATCTCTTGTCCAGCGGTGCTGTGACACATGCGGCCTAAGAAGCCTTCACCCCCTCTTTGTGTGACATAAGGCTATGGGCCCTTTCAGCCCCTTTTTGTAGGCTGCATGTCACTGCATGCCTTTTTGACCTAGCCCCCTTGTGGCAGGTCCTTATTTTGGTTTTTGTGCAGGTCACTGAGCGCGGGTAGCACCTTGCAGCCATTTCCTTGTCTTTTGGCAGGATCTATGATGCGCCATGACATCCTAGTGGATCGTAAGTGGCTTCCTGTGACACCTTTGCCTTGTGTCATGTCTAAGGTTTGTACCTTGGCGTGATGCCAAAGGTACGTTGTAGTGAAAAAAACTGTGACACTGGCAAGGTTTTCATTTTCTGGCACTGTGGCGGAATTATCTGCGCACACCTGCTGTTGCCATGTGGCGTGGGTATTGCCTACCTCATCTGTCTAGATCGGCGTCTGGACGTTTTGCTGATGGACCACTGATTTTCAATTGGTGGCCTGCCATTGACGTGAATGTAGCGCCTTTTTCCTATTTCTGAAATGCCAATCCGCGTCTGCTCTGCGTCCCTTTCTCCTTCATGTTCCGCGGGTATGGAACGGACAACGATCACCTTCTCTTGAATGCCGACTTCTTGCACGCTCAGCTCTGAGCAATCCGCCGCTGCATCACGAGTGCTGAGGTAACCTCGCTGTCCTTGCGAAACTGTTGCCAGAACTGCTGAACGATGCGCTAGATGCAAAAGCGAGACAAGGTGCGTGAGCTATCCATTCATAGGTTGTTCCGTATGATTAATTCATGATCGCCTGTCAGTATCTTGTACAGGTTAGACGATCCCGGATGCAACGTGCGCGCAAGGGCACGAGCGCATCTTTGATTGACGTTCCCCCGTACCCGAGATATCCGCAGACCTCTGATGAGCGGGGCCGTCCCTCGGCCTCATATTCTGATCCCCGACTCTCACATACTTAACCTTTATCGCGATCCCTCCCGCGTGCAATGCAGCTGTCTAGTCGTGAAGACCGCTTTGCGTCCTAGAATGATGTCCCTTTATCCCGCTTTCCTAATGACAGACGCTTCCATTTCGCCCATTAAACTTGTCTGCGATGCCGGCCAGCGAAATGAACGACTATTTCAGAAAGTGTAAGAGACATAAGAGCAGACTTGGGAGCATGGACGGCCGAGTGCTTCTAGTTGTGATACTTGATTCTAACAGTGTCGGCATATTACTCACTGAGAGGTCGGTATCTCTAGCAGATCTTGTTCATTACCACGAAAAGTTACATCCGCTTACGCGTTGAATGGAGATCGAGATTGCTTGAATGCTACTCAGTCATCAGTATCGACGCGAAATCTCCGGAACTCCCTATTCCGAGGGCAATTCAGTTGGACCCTGCAACAAGCGAGTCGCATGCGGTCTTTGAAGCCACTCAGGCCGCCTCCGGGTAGTTTCTGCTCGTCCGGATATTCCGCAATTTCTTGTGCATTGCAGGGAGATCACATCTCGATAGGCGAGGTCAGTCAAATGCCGGAGACTCGGAGGTTGACGAGATCCCGAACGTATTGCGCAGCGTACTTTATACTTTGCCGTTCGCTCTTCAGCATACATTCTTTCGCCATCACTCGCAACCACAGCGATCGTCGGCGATTGTACAGGGATTACGGTAATCGCGCATAGCAACAGATTCAGGACAGCGCACCGGCGGCTCGGTCATATCTGTTCTTCCTGGAGTCCGTCGGCTGTGTTCACCCAGCGGCGTCCCTATGTCCACCGCAATAAATAACACATACGCGTAAGAAGAAAAGGCCGCAACGTAAACGCCATGACTGGGTTCGGCAACCTGCAGGGCACCAATACACAACGAGGCTAGCACTCGTTTTGCAATTCCGACAGTATCTCCCTTCCTCCCTCTACAACCTCCTCATTGGAGAACGTGAGCGTCGACGGGCACCGACAAGTACCTAATAAGTCTTCTTTTTCTCGTCGACAGAGAGGCCACCTGTTGATGAGCGTGAGGCTTGCATGATCACAGACTCCACAGATGGACGTACCAGGGCCCATGTTAACGAGGAGTATGAGTCCCCCGACAATCGCTGAGATAACGTCGTCACGTGAGCTACTACCACTAGGCAGTTCGAGTAAATGTACGAACAGAGCGTCTGGAAGAAATCGTATCTGCGGCAACTGTATCAGCTTCGTTGCAATCGCAGCTGACAAGAGAACCCTCACTTCAGGAAGTCTCGTTGTGGGTGTCTGGAGCTAACACTCCACCAGGCGTTGATGAAGACGTTGAAGATCGAGAGCATGATGACGAGGAAGGCGGCAGACCACTTTGCCTTAAAGCCTACTGCTACCATGACGCACGCAGCAAGCCCAACGACTGACACAAAAGCGCGCCCAATGCTCCATTGTCCGCGGAGAATAAAGCCGATGAATAGGAAGATGAGCAAGACCCGACCTGCCAGCAAGAAGCTAGCAATATCACTGTCGTCAACAACGAATAACCGAGAAACCTGAATGCACGCACTACTTCTTGCGGTCATTCTCACTGAGTGAAGGCAGGCCAGCGAAGATCTTCTTGCGGGTGTACATCGAGTCAGTGAAGACCATGAGGAGACCACCGATCACGCTCAAGTTGCGCAGAAAGAAGTTGAGGTCGAAAATGAGACCGTATCCGAATGCCTGCATGATGACCACACCCAGGAGCCCGCCGACAGCATATTCTGAGTACCTCTTCAGGATAACAGCACTTGAGCCGACAAGCATAGTCTGAATGACGTAAGTGAACCAGGATGCATCGTTCATCCGAACGAACGACATACAATAACATTTATGGCGAGGAACAACTGTGAAAGGCCCCAAAAGAAGTGGCGATGCCTGCATAGGCAGAAAAGCCGTTCAGGATGGATATAGATGAGGTATGAACATGAACGCACCGTTCGAGATACCAAACCTGGTCGCTCCATTGTGTGATGATTCGCAAAGAGTCCTCCAGGAATGTCACTACAATCAGGAATCGTCCAATTGCAGGCAAATGCGGCTTCAATGGCTGCGTGTAGATCTCGATATTGTCCTCGACCGTACGCGCGAACGCACGCAGCTTTTCGCGCGGGTCATCGGGGTTGGCTGCTCTGTAGCCAGACGTGGACCGCTGGCCGGTGAAGTTGGGAGGCTCAGGACTATATCCTCCAGAGGATGGTGCCGGGCGAGCAAGTGAAATGCGGGCAGACATGGCGGGGTTGAGCGTTGGTTGAAAAGAGAACAGAGGGCGACTTGAAGCTGGACTTGAGAGAGGACGACGTGGCGCGTCGAGAGCGTGGGAACCATTGCCGGATTTGTGCCCACTTATGGTGCATCGCCCTGCGGTTCATCACGTCTCTGATGGAGATTTATGCTAGTATTTGCTGTTCAAACCCGTTTCAGAGCGAGCCAGAGGTTCAAAAGTGATGCAGACGTTTCTTGGCCGCAACAGTGGTGTATAGCATTGATTTGGGGGCGGTTGAATAGTCCCGCCAATAGCAATAGTCGTGCCTCCGACGCGTTGCATTCCTTGGGCCTGCGTGCATATGCAACCTTGACACTCACCTTCAATCCCGTCTTCACGCATTTTGCTGGTAGAATACGTTCAGAAATGCCAAAGAGACGCGTAGCACAGTCCGACGATGACTATAGCGATTCCAGCGATGCGTATGATCCAGCAGCTTCCAGCCGTAAATCGAAGGCGAATCCGAAGAGGGCACGGACCGGGACAGTCTCGAAACGCATTGCAAGCAAGAAGCGCACTCAAGATGCATCAGACGTTCGAGGCACCTCGGATGATGGCGACAGTGCGAGCAGGCTAGCGGAGACGCGTCCTCATCCACTTTCTGTCCACACAATAGCGGATTCAGAGCCGATACGGGAGGCACTCCTCGATTGGTACTCAGGCGTCCACGAGACCCGTGGTATGCCCTGGAGAAAGCCCTTTGATCCAGCATTCAATGATGAGCAGCGAGCTCAGAGGGCGTACGAGGTCCCGATTTCCTAGCGTTTGCGTCCTCGCCGAAGGTTACTCAAAATAGTCATTGCTTTCGTCATAAATAGGTATGGGTATCAGAAGTCATGCTGCAACAAACACAGGTTGCGACCGTAATACCCTACTACAATAGATGGATGGCAAAGTGGGTCCCTCCATATAATTAATTTCCCGTAATCGCAAATTTGTGAGTCCCCATGCTGATTCTACTCGGCCCCTTGCAGATTCCCCACAATCAGGGACCTTGTGCGTTTCCCTTCGTACTGGCGCGATTTATATTCTGTGCTTCTCACATCATTTGAACGGCAGGCAGCGTCCGATATAGAGACCGTGAACAGCGTCTGGAAAGGTTTGGGGTACTACTCACGCGCCGCTCGCCTTCTCACTGGCGCCCGAAAGGCCGTTGAAGAGTTCGGAGGAAGACTGCCTGATAACGCGAAGAACATGGAAGCGAAGGTCCCTGGTATAGGTAGATATAGTGCGGGTGCCATCTGTTCAATTGCTTACAATCAATGCGTGCCTGTCGTAAGTCTGTCTTTTACTCATGGCTGATCGATGCTGAGGCCACAACTTCGACCGGCGTCCCAATAATTCCACTCGCCCCATCCAGTTAGATGGGAACGTGCATAGGCTTCTCAGTCGTTTACTCGCATTACATGCTCCCCCAAAGAACAAACAAACGCTCGACGTTTTATGGAGAGGAGCAACTGTCATGGTAGAAGATTCCACATGTCCTGGGGATCTGAACCAAGCTCTCATAGAGTTAGGCTCCACCGTATGCAAAGCTCGCGACCCTAGCTGCAGTTCATGCCCTGTGCAGCCATGGTGTCTTGCATTCAAATATCAACATAACTCCGAGGGTCAGGTAGGTGCGGCTATCACGTGTGCCCGGCCCAGATGTTGCCTCACTAATGCCATCCCTCTTAGGAGTCAGAAGGCGCTACATTGAAGGACGCTGGAGAACTGGTAGATATCGAAGAACTCTGCGTGCTCTGTGAAACACTGCCGGCAGTCGGTCTGGTGACCGATTTTCCAATGAAGATAGAGAAGAAAAAGGCCAGAGAAGAGCTCGACATAGTGAACGTTATCGAATGGCGCCGCTGCGCTGATGGTGACCGATGGTTCCTGCTCGTTCGGCGTCCAGAAGGCGGTGAGTAATCATGAATTGGCATCTCTTCTCTTCTCCCGTCTTCCCAATCTCGAAACGACTATCTGTCCTCTGATAGATGTGCCCGTCTCTGTTGACCGGTCTTCCCTGACATGCCGTGTCCAGGTCTCCTGTCGGGATTGCATGAATTTCCCACTGCGCCGAACGTCCCTGTGACCATATCGTACCCTGCGCAAATCCAGATCGCAAATGCCGTCTTGTCCGATTTGCTCGCCTGTCCTCCCCAAGATGGGCAGGATGGGTCCCACGCAGGAACTTCGGAGGATTGCACTCTCGGGGAAAGCGCCGGTACAGAATGCTCGAGCTCACGCACTCTACGGATCGTGAAAACTGAACCCGCAGGAGATGTCATACACGTCTTCTCCCACATCAAGAAGACATATCGGGTGCAATGGGTCGTCTTGGAGGGTGGCGGAGATGAACCTCCGTTCCTGACCCCTCTAGCCCCGTCGTTCGGCACCACTGCTAGGGCCAAGGGCAGAGCAGATGGAACACAGAAGGCTTTCCGAACAGTAAAGGCCAATAAGACCCAAGAAAACGGTCGGTCGGTAGCAGGGCAAGCGACATGGATGCCTCTGCGGAACGTCGCCGGCGCAAAGTAGGTCTTTTGTCCCTGAACACTGCGCCCGCTGTTATTTCTGTTGACTCGTTCTCGACGGTTCACACAGCATCGGCACTGGCGTGCTCAAGGTCTGGAAGCGGGTATGCACGCTGTGGGACGATAACGCTCGCGATCAAGCGTAACCTGCGGTCGCCGACTGCTAAAATGGGGGTGCTCTTTATAGTTCCCCTCTGAATATTCTGCGCTGAGGAACGCGAGGGCAATATGTCTATATAAGGGATGCTTGTACGGGATGTAGGCCTCGCGTAGGAGGCTCGCCTAAGGTAGTGGCGCCTGTAATATTCATCCAAACTGCCCCTTTTCCATGAGTACGTTCCTGCGTAGCGTTCGTTCTTGTCTGTTCGCGGCACTAAAGAGGGGGAGGGTTTCCATGGAAAGAGTGCATTGACAAGACATCTGAATGGCACGACCTATCTGGATTCCACGGGCCATTTGCACTCTACGATCATTACAATCAATAGAATTACAGTGAACGTTGCTCAGATAGGAAGAGAGCAAGAACACCAACCAATGGACTATCGAATGCGGTCACCTTGAATGTCTGAATAGCGTCGTTACAGCAAGATGGCTATTGTTCGGAGGAAAGAGCGGACATATCTAGCCGCAATTACAATTTATGGGTTCCTATACGTAGAACTATGCATGAGTACAGCGAGTCGGCCCAGAACACTCTATTCTCGCTTGACGCCTCGCATGCATTTGGGGGGATTGAATTCGTCGGGACGAGAGGATGGCGGCAGCAACCCACACCATGACTCGAAGCGACTGCGAACCGGAAGAGACGCATTCCAGAACTACCTATCTACAAATGAAACGCTACTTTTACCGCATAGTCGAAAGCAGACGCATATCCGCTGAATACCTTCATTTCATCGCCATTTGGAGGCCAGGAGGCCAGGAGGCGTCCATGGTCAAGCTTCCATAGAATGCGGTAACGAGGGATAGCCGTACATCCGCGCAGGCACCGCCTGGCTAAGTCCATGAATGAGACAGTGTCAGCCAAGCCAGAGGCACTCGACGATTCGGCCTTCTCGCAATGCAAGAACCCGGATAGAGGTACGTCAGAAATACGTGTCGGCCACTCGGGCACATCTCAAGGAGCTTGTCAGCAACCCGGACAGTACTTTGCGGGAAATCGCCCCGAAGATCAGTAGGAACAGCCGTACCATGTCAAAGCTCACCACAAGCATATTCCGGAGCTGCGATGGGTCATCCGATGCTCTAGAGCCTAGAGACATGCAGGGATGCTTGGTTTCTTTCGTTCGTCAGGTTCTATAGATAGCTCTGGCAGCATCTTTATCGAAGTTGGGTAGTGGAACTCACATGGATAGGCCTGTCAGACAATTCGTGATCCACTGATAGAGCCTTCTGGACAACAGCGGGTGAACAGCGGCTGCATGGAGGTCGGAGATCAAGTCTGCAGAGAAAGATCAGTACGGTAAAGCTACAATGCCGTTTACCGTGTCTTGTCACAGGACGCTCTCGCCGCTTGTTGTTTTGAGCCTAAATCATCGTTGGCATCGACTCGCAGTATGACGCTGCAACAGATGTGGAAAGAGCACGCCGCAGCGGGGGGGCCTCTGCGATAGGAACCCCATGTCTAATTCAGGTCATTTCTCTTGCCATGGCGAGACAAACTGTCGGTACTGGCGACGCATGTGATGCAATGCTGAGGCTCGACTTCCTGTATCGCGCTTCGTCATCGTGACTGCATCAACTTCTGCAAAACAGCATGATCATTTGCATTACATGTGATGCTGGGCGGTATTTGTCGGAGAAGGAGGGGCTAGCAGCAGTACCGCTGATCGGCTTGCTCGAAGGACAGAATCCCGCCTATCACTGTCGTCGGAGTTACAGGCTTAGGAAGGGCTGCATCATACGGAATTGTCAGCAAGTATTCCCGGCAATTAGCCTCCATCAGAGATGAAAAAACGCGGAGGGATGCATCTTCTGACCTCTTTTGACCGTCAAGCGACCTCCTTGCCTCGGCGCTTAGCAGCTGAATCTTCTTTAAGGAAGCATATGCCGCCAGTGGAAGCGAGTTCTTTCGCTATCAGGAAAGCGCGTATGACTGATCACTGAACGTGACATTTCACTTGTCGATAATCCATCGGCTGCATGGAAAAGGCTCATGTCAGTCAAGAGATCCAGGAGCATGATCATCGAACTGAATCGAACAAAGCAAACACCTTACGTTTGAATGCTCCACTCTTCTGGTAGATAATCAACAATTTTGAGTGAGCTCGATCGATGTGGATAACAGAGACAACCTTCAACGAAATTGGGCTGCGTATCACGACAGCTTTAGGACCTAGCACGGTGCGCTGTCAGGGCTGCTTCGAATGGGCGAGCTGTCCTATCAGTAGGAAGAAACAAATTTTCATGTTAGTTCAGACTGGATATCGTTTTGCTTTTTCTTCTCTCGAGATATCACACTCGAAGGAGACTTGCAGGCTGAACGTCCGTGGCATGCAAGATTAAAATTCTGTGTGCTTGCAAGCGCCCGAGTTGCCTTTCTCAAAGCCTTTGGCCCAGTCGACTGCAGTCGACCGACAACTTTTTATTGCTAGCGCCCATTCAAACTTACTACCGCATGCAATATTTCCTTTTCATCACATGAGCGGTTTCTGATCCCAGCTGTTAAGTCCGTCGCGAAGATGCGGGTTGCTATTGTGCAAAAGTCATCCATCAGTTGAGCTCTTTCCCGCCCGGCCCGGGACCTTTGCATTCAGCCGCGCTTGCATCACTTCTTGTCCACTCACTCCATGCAATTGCATTCTACATACAGGATGGTGCATGTGCTTGTCGTGAGAGTGCTCCTCAGTAATGACTTGACAGGAGCTGCACACCAGCACTGGCAAAACCAATCCCCTACGCGCGCCACATCATGAATATGGTGTAAGCCAGCCTGAGGGCTGGAAGCATGTGCGTTTCATTTATCATTCATTCATTCATTCATTCATCAGCATGGGGGTATTTGTGGCTTCCTGGCTATTCATGAACGTCTACAGAGTGCCTGTGCGCCTGTCGAACAAAGATGAATCTGCTGCGCTGTCATACCTGAGTACATCCGATGTCGTTGCCACCTTCGCATCCGGGCCGCTGTATACTCCAAAATCACTCTGAGCACTGCGCATCAAGATCATCAGGCAAGAGGGACACCTGAACGGCGCCAGAAATAGACCATCTGGACACTCTGATGCTTCCGCTTTGCATGGCTGCCTGCATTCTGACATTCGCTTTGCAGCGTCTCGGGAACCAGCGACTGGGAAGCTTCATGAACTTGCATGAAGGTCCGTGTGGCAAATTCACGACGTTGAAAGCGTGGACCATAGCTTTCGGCGATTCTCAACTGCCGAGTTGTCGTCTAGATTGCACGAATGGGTTCGGTAGCAGCATCAGGCTCGACTCTTCGCCAGTTCTCTGACCAGACTTGCCGTATAAGGTACTTGAACAGCAGCGTTATGCGTTCCCTCTGACAAATCCTGCGTGATCATGCCTAGAGCACTCATGCATGACTACGGCGCGACGGGTTCCGCTGACAATCATACCCATCCCAACACTCCGAACGTTAGGCTCTGCACCCCACCTGCCGCCTTTTTGTTGCAATCCAACAGCACCCGCAACCCCGCCTCAATCAATTGTATCTCTCACCGTGACATCCGCAGTGAGAATTCCGTAGCCCGCAAGCAATTGGACCGAGGTCATCGCTATACGGTGGTTTCCAAATACCTGCAAACGGTGTCGATGGCTTTTGAGTAGCTCGTGAAAACGGTGTCGATGGCTTTTGTGCTCGTGATTGTGACATTGCCATGCAGCTCCCAACGAGATCTAGACGGCACACGATCGCCCTGAATGAACCGGCTTATTGGCTTATTCAAGGGGACATGAGCTGCCACCGGATGTCAAAAGGTCCCACTCTGAAGGTGTCCACCGCCGGCATGTGAACTGCGTTACAACGGATCATGATCCTTGCCTGGGAAGAGCAAGGCCAGAGCTATTGCATTCAGAACAGGTGGGTACGAGGTACACAGTTATAGGCTGTAACATACAATACATCGTGGGGGTATCTTTCTCGTGTCCATGAAGCGTTACGTGGTTACGTATAATCGTGATATCGTGCGTAGCTTTAGAAAGGTGTACTAGTCCGGATGCAGTAGTATAGATGAGACGAGGGGAACGGCGAACAAAGATGCGTCGCAAATATCGGCCAAGGACACTACCAGAACGACCAGAGGACCACGCGCAGAGAAGATGCTAGAACACCGGAGCGTGAGTGCAGAGACGGCCGGTACACCTTCGCACGCGACACGCCACCAGTTCTAGCCCCGACACACTACGCTATGCGAGCGTCGGCTCTAGCGCAATGACCAAGAGTCCGCGCGAAGCGGGGTGTGGATCCGCAGATCTTCACTGAAGCCGCCGTGGCCGTGGATGTGGCGCGGATTCGGACTCGCGCCGGTGGAATAGGAGCGCGGGACCTCAGCGCCCGCGATGCCCGACGCGGAGAACTTGCGCAGGAACTGCTCATCGAGCGGGTCTCTCAGCGGCGGGGGCGTGCCCTGCAGAATGCTGAGCGGGACCAGTTCGAGCTTGCTCGTGCGCGGGACCTGGGTGGGCGAAGGGCGCATCTCAAGCGGCGGAGGAGACAAGGGGGACGAGAACGGGCGGGGAGAAGGGTCGCGATCAGACGATGATGACGAAGATGATGCGGTGGACAGGCCGGATAGGTTGAGTGGCGAAGGATCGCGGTAAGAGTGCAGACCTGAGTCGTGCAAGGTGGGCAGCCGTTGCCCAACTGCCACTGTGCTGTACACCGTTGCACCAGGTACGACCACAGTCTGGTGATGGTGCGGCACCTGCAGAGCGTAGGAATACGAACTCGGACTGGCGTGGATGGCAGGCGGCATATAGGAGGAGCCGATCAAACGCATCTCCTGCGCTCCCGGGACGGACTCGACAGGGAATTGAGAGAGGCCATGGTTCGACGAGTGGAGCCCGAGTCCCCATGGGTCTTGAGCGGACGACAACTCGTCTCCGGAATTTGACTCGTTGCGTTTCGCCTTGTTTGCACGCGCGCTTTTGAACCAGCCTTCTGGCACTTGCACATCACCAACGTTCGGGATCTCGTCAATAGTGCCAAGGCTATCGAGCGTCGACTGGCTGAAGTATGCAGCTGCAAACAATGAACGTCAAAATCTCGGTTCCCACGGTCAAAATGCGGGCGACCGACTCAGATGCCACTTTCGGGTGATGCCACGCGGACGGTCTTCTGGCAGGGAGACATGGACGCTGTACGTCTGTTTTATGAGGCGTTCCGTGTCAGAGCGTGAGTACGGGAGGCTCCCCGGGCGAGGTTCGCGTCGTCTAAGATGCAAGAGGATCAGCATCGGCTTGGACGACCCTCGACAGCAACGACTATCTACCTCATCATGTTAGCCCATCGAGCTGATGGATGGCTCGGGTCGTCGTTCGTGTCATTTTCGCGTTGGTGATAGAACAAGAATTCCTGTGCATGTGGCGTTCAGCGGCACTCGCATAAAGTAAGAACAGGGCACTCACGTCGCGCACGCGAGATGGGCCCCAGCCCATGCCGTCAGTCCTGAGCAATGCCGTAAGTTACGATCTCGTTAACGAAGGAGCCCTTCTCGCCCACCATCGTTCCATGCCCATGCCGGTTGCTTCGGCATTGGCACAGCGCTCTTCCCATATATATACATTGCCCGAGGTGATCCTGGTGGACAAGGCGATGATCAGCGTCTTTGATGTGCACAGCTACGAGATAGCTCACGCTCGGCGCTCCTCCGCGTCAAGGCGGCGGGTGGTCATGGGCAGAACGTTGTGCGCCACAGCATAGAATATTTGGCAGGCATCACGCGTCGAGCGTATGCGCACGTTCTGCAGAGTGGGCTGCTGCATTGTCATGTAAATTGGGGATGGTACAGGGATAGGGGGAGAGATGGGGGACGTGTGGAAGAGGGAAAGGTTAACGGGCTTGGAATATATATATGTGGTTCAAGGCGCTGATATGGCGCAGTGCAGCTCTGCAAGTTAGGGTGCTAGGGACCGCTCAGATGGGGATCCCCGAATCTTGGAAGAAGCAATTGAGTTTACATTGAGTTAGCCGCATGGTAGAGGATTAAATGGGTCGCTCCGGCAGATCGGGGGGTGAAATCAGACAGAATCGACGAGTCACAGTCACCTTGGATTCATGCTCAACGCTTGGCCCAGGCTTCCTCCAACAGCTTCCCCCGCAACGTGCACGCTAGTGGGCGTCCTTGTCGAGTAGTCGCATTCGCCCCGGAACAGTCATGCGGACGAGGACGCCGCCAGAACACTCGCCGCGAATGTCGAGATGGTGGATACCGGCAGTGCCTCGCAAGACCTAACATCCGTGCAATTTCTTTCACCAGGATCCAGACACACCAAGGACCGCAACGAGTTTAATTTGACAGGCACGACTATCACTCCCGGCTTCACACAAGCTCACAGCCAATGCAGGCCCGCTGATTGCCGCCTCGTCCCCCTTTTCCCGGACTCTGAGCGAATTTCCGTGCCGCAACGGAAACTCTAATCAGCTTACGCTAACGTGGCTTAGCGTGCGCGCTCTGATAGCCGCTGTGCAGAAATCTACGGATAGCTCACCCGAGCCTGGGCTCCCCGTATCCAGCTCTCTCCGCTGACTAAGTCTATCCAGATAGACTACTGATAAATTGCAATTGCATTTCCAGGATCTCGCGTCGGTCCTCGTGCCGTCCTCCGCCGAGATCATTGCCGCAATGCTCCCGCGAATGTCTTCATGCTACGTACTCTAATCGGATGGAATTCACCAAGGTTTTGATTAGATGATCGTGGGAACAATGCTCACTAACGCTACGGCATCCGTGCCGCCGATGCACATAGAACAGCCCCCCAAACCCAGACGCTGGCACACTCTCATATGGGATAGCCCAGTGCTGCTTCCGCGCTGCGCCTATATCAAATGGTCGTATTTGCAGATCCTGGCGCGCAACGCCGGAGTTCAACCGGAGAAACGGTGCCCATGGATATCAGAACATATTACGCCACAGCTCGCATCCGGAACTTCGCCGACAACAACAGACCTGTCCGATGGGCCTGAGATGGCATCTAGGGATATGGTGAGAAACCGTGAGGTGCATTCCCTCTGCTGGTCGGAAACAGAGTAGGACAGATCACGTACAGCAGCTCTGCCCACGCTGATCCCACGTTCGCCTGCCACTGATTGGCCGCCTCGAGAGCTTTCCTTCGACGTGATTCAGAAAGTATCGCGGGAGAAGATAGCCCGGACACCCTCAAAGCCGGGGCAGCGATGCTGGCCAGTGCGCTATCACCAACCCCGCGTAAAGTTCCTGCGGTGCGTCGGAGAACTATGAAGGCCCAGAGTGAGAGAAACGCTCAAGAAGTTGCGATCGCGAAGTGGCAGACCCTGAGACCAGGAAGGGTGTGAGTGGACGTGAATTACTGAACGAGGAGCGCAGAGCTTTTTGGGGATGGGAGCACATACCGAGTTGGAGGATGCGCCTCAAGGGCGCGTGGTAATTCATCGCCCAGTGCGGTATGTCACCGCGTATAAGAATGAGGAAAGATAGACCACGGACGCGGTAGAGGTTCACTATGTGAGACGACACATGCAGCGTGACGGGGCACAATGTAGACCTGTAAGCTACCGATGCGGACGTTTATCCGGCAATCGTCGCAGAGTGCGTTGTTGAATGGTTCTCCCTCACGAGGTGAGGTTATGTCGATGTCTCCGCACCGGACAGTATATGATAGAGCATTTTCTCAGGTGACGGCGTCCTACCGTAAGATACCGTAAAAGCAGCCATACTGACACTGGAGGCCGAGATCTTGGCGTGGCAAGAGGCAAATCAACGTGTCCAGAATCGCGTCGTTCCGATCAGCATCGTGATTGCCATATATACTGGATGTGATATGTTTTTGAGCTTACCACACACATGGGCATAATTGACCAAACCATTGGCGACCCTGAAGGGTGGAAATGACGGCTTTCCGCTGAACCTTGAGGAATCTAGGGTGACCACGCTCAATCCTCCGTTCCGGTCATGCCTTGGCAAGCGGCACGATTCTAACGAGACATCCAAACCCTGTCAAACGCCGTTCAGGACTATCAGCATCGCTCAGCATGGAGACGAACAACGGTGGAAAGGGGGCTCTACCACTATTCTTGACCGATAGAATGCAACGGACAACACTATCTCATAGCGACTGCAAGAACATGCCGCCAGACAGAGATGCAGATGAGCATACCTGATGGAGACCAATTCCTTTCGCGTGTTTCTGGACAAATTCATGAGAAATTTCCATTTGCACTATTTTGGAAACAAAGCGTTTGCCAATACAGTCGAAGTGGTGAGATTTGATCGCGTTCATGATGAACGTTTGTAATTGTACGTATACTTAGCACGAATGAAGAATGCACTCTCAAACACATGATCCGAACGAGTGCTGATGGGCCACCGGATAGCTCCGCTGATGCTGATCAAGATTAGGGCCAGCAGAGAAAATCTTAAACTAAATTGGCTCAATCGACCAGATGTTCTGTGATTCAGGGTTGAGGGATCACCGATATCCGACGAATGCATAATGTCAGTTGGTCTTCCATTACTCGAATGACGTGGGGATCGAATAGAGCGAGTGACATACCTTCCAAGGGAAGCACCACAGGCATCCAGTCCGGAATCTCTGCATAATGCAATGCGTCCCGGAATGTATAACGAATACGAAGCGTCTTGGAAACCCCTGGTGCGGGGTCGTAGAAACCTTGTAGGCCAGCCTGTCATAGATAGAATAGTGCGTAAGTAAGATCAGAAAGGCACAAGGCTCCGCACAATCATCGCGACAAAGTAATTAGGGATGATCGTCCTTAAAGGGGCACCGATGACTCTTCCATGGAAACATAGCATGCAGCTGCATGTACAAGTGCACGTGCAACTATTTGTCTGATCGATGTCAATGAAATATGAGCTGATTCGTTCGCTCGTCGCGAGACTGCATCGAGGTACAGTGCTTTCACCAGTCAGTAGCGTCAAAACGGCTCATCTGCGACGATACCTTCACAGAAGGTGAGAAGGCGGAGGCTATCTGACAGCCACCTCTACACAGAGTATGGGTGGATGAAAGAGGCACACCATGCCGTATTTATCGCCGAGGATGAACCCCGAGAAGCAGAAGAAGGTCTAGGCGCAGATAGAAGGTGGACAGAGCGTCAACACCGCCGAGCTGAAGAACGGCGCAGACAGGCAGCTGCTCCGATTCGCCGCGAGAGAACAACGCGATATTGGGGTCTGCCATAACAATAAATTGAAAAAGAGGACAGGAGTACCGACCTTGCTTCGTCTCCCAGGGATGTACAACTGACTTTTGTACACCAGGGCCTGGAGGGGCACTGTAACGTCCAGTCTAAGGCCCTCCGTGGCTTCGTCCTCCTCCGAGGGACCGTACGAGGCGTACTGGATGACAAGACCTACCGATTCACACCGCTGTGAGTGCCACGCTCAGGTATAGGAACGTAGAATCTTGCCATTGCAAGATGCCTCCGCTTGCATGTGACGCTTAGCGAGATCTTCAAGAAGATGAATTGTCTCCTTTGTCTCACGAAGGACGTCAGATTTTTCCTCCTGAAGTTGCCGCCGTGCTTCCCGGAAGAACCTGTAGGAGAACGTGACAGTATGAGCAATTAACGAGGCTTGGAAGGCGGGAAAAGACTGACTGTATTCGCTGTCTGCGACGCCGAGGCCTGAGAACGAAGAAGTATGTAACCACAAGAGCTGTGGAAGGCATCACAGTAGTCCAGAGTGCCAAGCTGAAGTCACGGTCATGCGAGAGCGTTATCGGGAAAGAAAACTGTTGTCCAAGGTATGCCATGCTGTAAAAATGGTCACTGACCAGCTCTGCATGCCCAAATGTGTCATACTCACTCCAGTCTTAAAATGACGCCTTGGATACCCAGAGCAATATTCGAGCCAATGGAGGTCTCTCCTTTTCTCCATTCTCCGCCGAAGGACCAATTAATCCCTACAAGTCCAAACTGAAGCGCGACTCTGAGACGAAGGCCGATCTCCGCCCAAATTATGCCCCATTCGACGCCTATAGCGCTCAGCAGTCCGGATAGATTTGCCTGCACGTTCCAGAAGCTATTGCCGACTAACAGTCCAGACATGGATGGTGGTCGCATGGTGGTTCCCAACAGAGTAGGTGGGACGGACGCTTCGGCTGTGTAATCAAACAGGTGTGCTGAAGATACAGCTACAGAGAGTGCGGGCGTTCCACCACTGGTCGAGAACATAAGCGAGCCTTCCGTGGGTTTATCGGGGAATAGGCGTCGTGAGTAAGCGATGGCAAGAGGAGGGATTACCACAGAGCCCTTAGAACGCGCTTGTGACATCGCTTGGAAGAGACCGCGGGTCAAACCAATTTCGCAATGAACTGTGTTGTCGTCATCGCGATATGTCGTTTTCAAATCCAGGTCCGAGATACGCAGCAGATTTATAGTGGCCTGGAGTGCTGTTCATGAGATTGATTCACTGAGATCTCACTGTTTCCAATACTGACCTCGAAATTCAAGCGAGGAGAATACTGATGGCGGAGAGTACCCATAATTCCGCTGCGGAATCCCGGCAAGGCGTCATCATTACTGAGGGACCCACGAGAAGACCCGCGGCCTGACAGAATGAGGGTTGTCTTGTCGTTGATGTCTTTCTTTATGTAACAATTAGTAGGAGAAGCTCCGCACGAGTTTTAACTAGCACTTACTTGAACGCTGTGTCGCACACTGAAACTAGTTTGCCCCATATTTGCAATTCTTTCCTGAAGTAGATCGAAGAAGTCGACAACGCCCCCGTCCATGTACTGTTCTCTGTTCTCGAACAGCGCGCTCGCATCAAAAGCAGCATTGACACGGCCTTTTGTCCGAACGAGATCTTCCAGCCGTTTGCTCTCGATGTCTCGCTTTGTGCGAGTCAAAGCAGAGTCAAACTGTATCTGGGTGTTGACCATGACTATACATACGACATTTGGCGAGACATACCTCATCTGGCGGCACATTATGGAAACTCTCGTCACAAAGTGCCTTAAGCCCTTCTGCGCCTACTCTGACCCATATTCAGTACGGCACAATCCAACACACCGGCATACAACAAACCTAGCAGATCATATGCACGCCTGTAAAATGGTACTTAGGCTAACGTTCGTAAAACTGTGATGGCGAAACTCACCGGCTGGCCGGATCAGATAGTACTGAAAGAGAGCATTGTTGGTGCGGCATGCATGTAGGCACATATCCCACTCACCTTGATATGCCTTTTGAATCTCCAGGAACCGCTTGGTCGCTGTTTCTTTGGTGCGTTCATCATACTGCTTGTCTGGGTGAAAAACGACAGACAGCTGCCGGTAACGTTCTCTTATTTCATATTCGGAGGCTGTCTTTGGAAGGTTGAGAACTGTGCTGGAAAAGCGTGAGGACATCGAATAGTGGCATTCGTACAAATCAAACGTACTATAGAAACTCTCGGTCGTCGGGTGACCCGGGAATGTTCGCAATGTCCGTCGCTATTCCCGACATGTGCGCGAGCGATTATGTCTCCAGCCTCACTCAACAACGCTTGCGGATGAAAACGCGCAAAGAGTATGAGTTGTGCACGACCCAACGCGACAGTGTGGCGGGAGACAATAAACCTGGAAATACCTTTCTCACCGACAAGCTTAAGGGATTAATTATCCGCGGTCAAGCTTCCCATACTTGGATTAGCCCATTCTTTCATCGTTCAATATCTCGACGTCGCCAGTGCCCTCACGAATGTCTTCGAATCAGCCAAATCTGAAGATACCTACACCCGCAGCTCCCCAGCCCAAGGCTCGTGGTGCGAACCGCTCGACAAAAGCTGCGGGAAAGCTCAAGGTACTCCCTGACCAAGTGGAACCAGTCCTCCAGAATAAGGCTGTGGAACTCAAACGGCCACCAAAGGCCAGGACAGAGGAGGAGGAGGAACAGGAGAGCGAGGAAGATGAGGGTGATGATGAGGAGGAGCCTGAGGAAGCGGAGGTGGGATTGGTTGTCATTTGTTTTGAGAAGTGCCTCCTCCTACTGACACTTGGGTCACTGTGCACGATGCGTACGGTAGGTTTATAACCAGATTAATTTGATACCTGCTGGAACAGCGCGTAGAGATGCGCTACGATTGACAAAGAAGAAGGCCAAGTCTCTACCACGCGTTACTGCATACGCGACTGCCAGGTGAGTCGTACAATGTTCGCCGTTTGGAGTTGAAGCTCATCCAGATTCAGTTCGTACCGGTTTCCTGAGCTGATGAAGTTCTTCAATGCTCGACGTCCATCATACCATACCAACCCCCGGGTCATCGACGAAGTGATATACACTCCCTATTCTTATGCACTAGCTTCAGAGAGCTCTTCAGGCACACAGCGTCAGGTTCACTTCGAGGGCCAGTCTGAAACCTTAGAGCAGACCGGACAGACCGGCGATCTGCTTGGTGTGCCAGAATTGGTTCCAGATGCCAATGGCACGCAAGTGACGGACGGAGAACAAACGGCGAAGAAGATGAAAAGGAATAGATTCCTAACTGACGAGATGCCCAAGGAGGCCGAGATCTTCATGTTCAAATACGGAACCGTGGTGTTATGGGGAATGACTGAAGCGCAGGAAAAACGATTCTTGTCGTCCATGTGAGTCATAGACTCCATGATTATGATGAATATCTGTATCACGACGTTTGCGTAGCAAGCGTTTTGAGGTGGACAAGCTCCGTAAGCCCAACTGTTGCCATAGCTGTGACGCATCGCTGAGACCCATTATGACAGCACCCCAGGAAGTCGAGATGGAAGACCTCAATTACTACTACGCTAATTACAGCCGGTAATTACCATCGTTATGTTTTTCCCGCATGATCGCCGATATGCGTATATAGCATCTACAACGATGTTATCACTTTACGCGTTGGATCCAGCTACATGTGCGTTAAATGTCGGTGTGCTGAGAATAGCTCCAGGCTAACCTGAACAGGACAAAGCTTTCCTTATCGCACGCACTCTCGCAGTCTGTCAAGATCTCCCTAGTACGTCTCTTCCACGAACGCCATTCTCAGCTCAAGATTTATGCCCCAATCCTCTCATGCGGCATTAATGCGGCTATATATTGGTCCTTTTGTCAATGATAGTTCGAAGAACTCATTTCGTCAACGATCGAAGAGACGAAAGGTATTCCGGAAATTATAAGTGCCACTGGGAAGATTGGCATGCCGCATAAAGGTAGACACTTCCGGCACACCACGTGCCGTGCTGTAACGCTTATTCTACGCGCACAGATATAATGCGGAAGATCGGAGAGCTTTTCTTGCTGAGGTCCAACATTAACTCAGTCGGATCAGTGCTTGATTCCCCCGTACGTCCCATGCCCACAGTAAACTTCTACAATGTACTCACCATCGTCTTTCGCTACGCATATGTTTCTGCAGGAGGTGTTTTGGGTACGCGCATTTCTGTCACAATTGGAAGATTTCGTAATACCTCCCATAGACCTACCCGGATTTGCAACCTCTTTATGATGCAGCGCGCGATTATTTGGAAATCCCTCAGCGTATCGACCTCCTAAACACGCGTGTTGAGGTGGGTCATGATCAGTCTCCGATTTGATTCGATCTGCCATGTCTCGTGATGATTTCGCGACTACAGGTTCTGCAAGATATGCTTCAACTCCTCAAGGAAACCGTGAACAGCCGTCATGCAGAGCGTTTAGAGCAAATTGTCATCGCATTGATTGTGGTCGAGATTGGTAGGCTTTCTGTATTCAGCAGGGTACTTGATCATCTCATGCACCGCCTCCTCAGTCCTCGGTATTATCACCATCATTGTCGACCTGTTTTCCTGATTGTACCCTGGATGCTGTCAATTGTATCATTATGTTGCATACGTGCATTATGTTACAGCCAGGTTGTCACCGCTCATCATGTACAATAATACTAGCAAGTTTACCTTCAGCTTCGAAAACCGCACATGCATGCAGGTAGCCTATGAGCATTCTAAACCCAATCCAACAGCAAAAAAAAACAAATCCAAGACACAAGTCAAGAAGCCTTCTCCCGGACTTTTTCTTTGCTCTTCATGCCCCCAGAAACACTCTTGTCTTTCGATTTCTCCTTCGTCTGCCTGAAGCACAAGAATTCGATTCCGGTGGCCCGGCGGGTATCCGCCAACGTCTTCTTGACGCCATCAAGGTGGGCTTGCAAATTCTCGTCTCCGGGCCGGCGTGCATATGCCTGAGAGATCTTTGTGTAGAGATCGGAGAGTGTTTGGTCAGCGGACGGCGTGACGTAGCGCGAGAGTGTTTGATGGAGAAATTCAATCTCTAACGTTGCCTGAGAGCGGTATTAGTAAGTTGTGTGGGAGACAATGGTTGAGCATAATTGACAGGCACAGTACAAGAGAGTGTCCACGCACCCGAAGCATGCCGCCCATGCCGAAACGCTTTACTTGTCGGAAACAACGCAGGGCTTCCTCGGCAACGTCTTCGACAAGTGAATTTAGGGTGCTCTCCAAAAGGGGCGCGGCCACGGAGCTGACTTGCGCGTGCGCGCCCACAAGGAACATCAGGATCTCGTATACATATGGACGAATTTCTATGAAGGCGTTATTTCGGATCACACAGGTGCGAAAATGCCGGAGACAATGACATACCTCTTGGTTGCGGCGTTTCATACCAGTCCATCTGAGGATCCAAGACGCCGTTTCTCACCATGCCCATGAGGGCGCCGGCTTTTGGCTTGATATAGCTCTCGAACAGAGTGTTGTACAACTCCTGGACGATAGCCATAAGGGTCTGAGAACGTGTCAACTCAGTCAGAAGGCAGCTGAGATCGAAGCGGAAGAGACTCTACACGTTTATCTTCTTCTATCGATATACCGAGTGTATTGCCCAATTCACCGGCCATGCTCGGAATGAGCGAACGCTTCAGGTGATCTATGTTCGAGACCACTAAGAGCAGCCGGTTGTTCTGCAACTTGCCGTTGGAATCAGAAGCAGCTGTTTGAAATGACAATGCTCACTGTGTCCTGGATATTGACAAGTTCCAGTGGGTTATTCCTGGCCAGTCCTGTCAGATCGGCCATCGCAGGTTGGGCGTTGTTCGCTGCCGCTGACTCATCAGATGCGAGGTAGACAAGGCCATCAAGCACGGCAAATAGGGAGTCAAGGAAAGCCTTGGTAATCTTGTTCGTGAAACCGGGCGCGATCGCCTTCCGCTTCGCCAAGCGTGAAGTGGTTGTCGTGGTTGTCGTGGTTGAGGATGAAAGGTCAGCTCCGCCGGCGAGCTTGAACGCACATGCCGTCATTTCTCTCTGGAAAACACGCAGCTTCGATAGGTAGACCGTCGTGTATGGATCAATTGTAGAGCCTATCCAGTCCTCGAGGTAATAGAAGATATTGGCATCTGTCAAGGAACATTCAACCAAAAGCGAGCGTTAACGCGGGCTCCATATGCACCTCTGATCCATGCGTGTGTCAGAATGTCTTCGAACTTCCACCGTGCGCTCTCTAGAAGGCCCTTGAGGCTAGAGCTGGCTTCACTTGATATCTCCATGCCGTTAATGTCGTTAACGCTGTCCTGAATTTCGCCGATGATCTTCATGAGTTGATGGCCGGTTGTCAGCGCGTTAGAGTTTCGTGGTAATAATGGTGGGGTCGTGTCAATCGTAGTATTCGGGGGGGACGACATAATGCTATCAGAGAACATGAAGAACTCTGATAGAAGTGAGATATAGAGTTTGACGATGTCCAGTGCCATGGTTCGACACTGCGTGGGACTGCGTCGCGAGGTGCTGCCCGCGCTCTACGGCTGTATTAGAGAGCACGCGCCGAACGGGCTTCACACACGCACCTTCTTCAGTTTGCCTTCCAAAAACGCCTTTGCAATTCTCCAGAAGTTCGGCAACGATGACAACATCACCTCCGAGACATTCTTCACCATCGTGAGAACGGCTTGCCAAACATCATTCCCCCCTGCTTGCGCTGGATGGTTGAGAATGCACGTGAGTTCAAGACTGAGCTTCGTATGAACAAGAGTTTGTCCCAACTCACCGAGGACAACGTCTCCCTGCTTCGCCTCTATGGCTACCACACATGTTTGCAACTGGACAGATAGAAGGGCCGGTAAGGCGTCCGGACCCTTCAATGTAGGCTGAGATTTCTCATGGATCGCTAAGAAAAAGCATACCATGAGGCACTGCAATTTTAAATACTAAACGACTCACATCTGATAGCGTCCACGGCTGCATTATATGTCTCTTGCATGTGCTGGAGAATATATTTGTGCTGCGCATCGAAGTACGTCCAAACGGGGTCATCTGTAGGGTTCAGTTCGAGAAGTATCCTGAAGGCCGATGCATTGAGAACGAAACCTACAGAACGGCAGAACAATACTTACTCAATTGTCTTCTCTTGCTCCTCGATGCTCCGGATAGGCTCTTGCAGCTTAGAAAGCAGTTGACTCCTCATCTCGCCCATGATCTTCTCCACTGTACCCCAAACCTTGTTCAAGATCCGTTTCTGCTGTGTCTCCGCGTTCGCAAGGGACTGCCCATCTTTCGCAGAACCTGTGGGTAGCAACTGTCCCGGCCGCGATTCAAGTAAAAATTTGCCTTTCTTGTAATCACGCATCACAGCTTCATAACGTCCCTGATGTATACCATGGATTTAAAATCAGTTGCACAAATGTCAGACGCTGACGAACCGCCTCAATAGATTCAACCAGCGAGCCTGGTAAGCTGAAAAAGAACTTCGATCGATCGAAAACGCCTAAGGTGGTTCGCAATTTCTGCGCCTTGAGTGCATTCTCGAGGATGGGCAGGAAAACTTGGTCTGCCTTCTGAGCAGCCTCTAGAGGTAGGTCAGACCTGCGAGCTCGATGTTTACGAGGTTTCTGCGCACGTTTGATATGATCCTTCAGCGGCTTTGAAGCAAACTCAGCTTGTTCTGTTAGTAGTCCTTCCTGCATTTCCGCATACAATGCTACATGTCTCTCGCGTTAGTCTTAGGAGCAGATATAAGCAGATGCAGACATATATACCATCTGTAGATGCCTTGACGGCGACGAATCTATCGAAGTTCTCTTCCACAAGTACCCGCACAGCCTCTGAACGTGAATCTATGGAAGCTCGCAGGTTTGTAATGCCTGATGCGAGGTCTTGATACGTTGCGTTAGGATGTACGGCAGACAGGAATGCCTTAGGGTTGAACGACTTGGACGATATCAAAATGGCCGCCTCTGCGCCCACTCAATATGAACGAAATGTTTGCAATGAAAGTGAGGATGACTGACTGGTATCCAAGTCCATATTCCGTAAACTAGCATATAAGAGAATTATGAATGCTCCTGCTTACGTAGGATCCGTCCTACGCACTCGACTACGGCGCCCAAGCCAAGAGGGTCGGTCTCGCCATCCCCGCTGCCTGTCAAAGAGCCAGCCAGAGATTCATCCTTCTCGTGGTCTATCTCTTCCCACTTCCTACCGATCGTGCGTCAGTGACGGTGAACGCCGACAAACCGATGTGAGCTAACTGTGGAGAAAGAGAAGAGACTCCGTATGCCTTCAATAGCTCAGCGTCGTCGACTTCGAAGTTGAGTCTGCCCATACGCTCGATTCCAAGTGGCCCAAGTTGAATGCTCCAGATTTAGAGGACCCGTGCACGTTGTACAGTTACGAAGGTCTCGCAATATGCTCCTTTCTTGGTCGCAATTCCAGCAAAGTCTAGCAACAGCAGAGAGAGGTCGAGGAGGTCAGAAGACAAGTTCTGGGCGTCCGAGGCTCGGTGGTGGTTGAACGTGCGCGTGAAGGCTGAGCTTGATGTGGCGAAATTGCCTTTCCTGGAACCGGGTGCTGCGGGCGCCCATGAGACTTGTGAAAGTTGGGATCTACTGAACTTCAGAGTTGCAGTCAGGAGAGTGAAGTGCACGTCCGTCACCTATGCTTGTCGCTTGAGTGAATTTTTGGAATCGTCCGACATCACACATGCGTTTCGAGGGCCATGCAGAGCGAGATGCTCTCGAATCGCCTGCCGATGCTCGAGGCCTGTTCCGCTGGCGTGAGATCGGGTTTCATAAGAAAATACATATAGCAATTGCATTTTGTACTTGTCCTCCCACTTCCTCGCCAGCATGTCTAAACGGATCCGCATCTTCACTCTCGAGGACGTCGCCGAACACAGCTCTCCTTCAAGCTGCTGGGTCACGCGTAATGGCAAGGTTTACGACGTGACGAATTTCCTGCCGGACCACCCGGGAGGGGACGACCTTATCCTCAAGTATGCCGGGAAGGACGTGGAGGCCATTATGAGAGATCCTCTTGAGCACGACCATTCGGATTCGGCATATGACATGTTGGAAGAATGTGCTATCGGGCGCATTGGATTGAACGAGACGATCGTGAGCGAAGGTGCGTTCCCGGAGATTACTGAGACCGTTCCATTATCTACTTCCGCATGGACTCGTCTCTCTTATGGCATGTCAGATGCCGTATTTGGCGTGACCACGCAGGCTACGATACCGAACAACCAGACGAGACTGCTTGGGCTATCGTTCCATTTTAGACCCACATGCTGACCGACGCCCTTCAGATTGGGTCCCGGAGAACTTTGAGCCGGATGATACCGACCTAGCAGCAGACTATGAGAAGAACCAGTTTCTCGACCTCCGCAAGCCGCTGTTGCGTCAGATGTGGGAGGGCAGCTTTTCCAAGTCATACTACCTGCAGCAGGTGCACCAACCGCGCCATATGCCAGAGTCGCCCCGGCTCTTTGGGCCTGCTTACCTCGAGGTAAGGTCTACATGCGACGTCGTTGTCCGAGTTATTCATGTGACTCGATCGTAGGTCTTCTCGCGAACGGCGTGGTATGTCGTGCCTATCTTCTGGCTACCAATCGCAGGTTATCTGTACGCCCGCTCGCTGGTTCAATTCACCCTTGGCAACGGCTCGCTTCCGTTGTTCTCGGTCAGCCCTGCCGCACCGCTCAAACTGCTCATGACTGTCGGCATCCCCGCCTCATCGTTCATGAAGACGACATTGTGCTTCTTATTCGGTAACTTCGTGTGGACAATCTTGGAGTATATCTTCCACCGGTTCCTCTTCCACATCGATTTCTACCTGCCGGATCACCCTGCCGCACTGACAGTGCACTTCCTCATGCATGGTGTCCATCACTACCTCCCTATGGACCGGTAGGTGCTTTTTAATCGTGCTAAACTATTCTTGACTGTATTTGTTCAGTTTGAGGCTTGTCATGCCGCCCGCGATGTTCTCCGTGCTGGAATTCCCTATGACGCAGCTGGCACACGCTCTATTCCCGCCGGCGGCCGCAAACGGGATTATTTCTGGCGCCTTCGCCTTCTGTAAGCTACTACATCCTACGTGTCTGCGCTTTCGCTCATCCGCCTCGGCAGATGTGTTGTACGATTGCATGCACTATGCGTAAGCCACCCCACTTTCTTTTCTACTAGAAAAGGTTTGATCATCCGTTCACAGGCTGCACCACACCAGACTGCCGGCGTATGTCAAGGAGATGAAGAAGTACCACCTTGCCCATCACTACAAGAACTTTGAACTCGGTTTCGGCGTGACGAGCAAAATATGGGATTACGTCTTCAATACCGCCCTCACGGTGTGACCGGTCACCGGCATCCTATGTTCTTCCCTTGGATAATATTATCGGTCGCTCGTTGTGCGAAGGGGTATCACAGTCCTTTACCCTACGTATAGCCGTACCTTACTCTACTACTCCTTGACAGTATACTGGTCTTCTAGGTTGTCGAGAACGACATGGTATGCTACATTCATTCCCGAGGTAATGATTGTCGGTTCGTATACGCACCCCACTCCTCTGGTTGTCTGTTCTGTATGTTATGTGAACTCTGGACTATATATCGCTAGACCGTGAAGCGACATTCCGTAGCTGAGTTGTCAGGACAATTTGCATCAGATGAGGCGTGGTATGTCATCGTGATATCGGAGTTACACCGAAACGTTAGTGCAGAGTCTACTATCAACTATTGAGCGCCCCATGCGGCGCAGTCACAGAGGTGCTTACGGTGCCCAACGTTGCTGCACACAGTAACCTATTCTCCATCGTGCAGCCTTTCACTTGGCGCTGGCCACAGTTAATATTGAGCCACTCGCGTTCCATGCTCTTTCGACTATACCACCTTCACGTCTTTCTCGCGTTTTCTTGTCTGCTCGTCTCGCCTGGGAGCGCCAGCGTACACCTAGGAATGAGCGGCGCAGAAAGCGCAGGGCCCAGTAATAGGCCACCCAATAATGTGACATCGGGAAGGGAGAATCCAAGCGGTCACGTTCCGCTCGACGTTGAAGGATACCCGGTAGCACCCCCCGGGCTTGAGCTTGAACAGGTGCACATTTACATCAGACATGGTAGTGTTCCTCGTTTCATACCGTCAAAGTGCTAAGCAAATAACGTTCTGATTTGTGAAGGTGAGCGTACACCGGTCGCTGTCCGAATGGCCGACCCACCCGCGTCCATGCCTGAACATTGGATGTTCTGCCACCATGCGCATACCTTCCGCACTGCCATGACGAACGGGAGGCCGATTGTCCCTGGAGTATCCGGGGAGGATGAGTCCCTTCGAACGCTTCGAGTGGTCGAGCGAGCGGATGGCACCGCCAGTCCGGGAGAATGGTAAGCCACACATTGCTCAACCTGGATTTCCGAAGCAACGTTGTTCACTAAATACCCATCCTCTTCTCGCTGTAGCTTGCTGGGAGAACTGACCGATATTGGCAGACAGGTAAGCGGATCATTCCTCCCTTGTATCTACGTTCGATCAAATGCAGAATACGTTCTCATGCAAGGCATCCTGCACTGATGCTTCGTAATGACAGTCAACGTACGACTTTGGCCAAGCGTTGCGCCAGCTTTACATTGACAGGTATGTCCTACTGGCTCACGTCTTGCAGATGTGCCTGAGGTCTCAAGCAAATGGTCGTCGTTGACGCTCCGTGCTGTAGATTAGGCTTCATCTCTGACGTCGCACGTTCCAACGACGAAGTGTACTTGCGCTCCACGAACGTGCCCAGGACGATTGAGTCTCTCGAGCAGATTGCACGTGGGCTGTACCCCGAAGAGAAAACGGGGAAGGAGTTCTCACCGTTTCTCAGAATAAGGTAGAGCAATCCCTTTGTTCATGACCCAGAAGGTCGCCGATCATGTCGTGTGAAGGAATAGCAAAGAGGAGAATCTGTTCGGCAACGCCCTGGCCTGCAAGCGGCTGGAAGTCCTCCAGATCGGCTTCGCAAAGGGTATGTGTATATGTATAAGATGCTTGATCCGATAGCCCGCCTCCACGCATTGAATTTTATATTCTTTCTCAGCTGCCGCTGTTGAATGGAATGAGTCGTTATCTATTCTTGACGAGAAGGTATCAAAGTATATCGGCGGAAATCCTATTCGGTTGGATGGGAAGCCGCGGGCTTCAGGAATCCTTGACACGGTCAGTACTCCGTGATTCTTGCTCCGTCACTTCTCAGGGGTAACGGATGTGTTTCTAGATCAACTCTGCGAATGCCCATGGGGTTAATATACCTCCAGAGTTCAAGGACGTCGAAGTAATAGGGCTGATTGTGCGTGTTCGTTTGTTCGCGGGATGTGTTTAAGCTCACGGCGTCATGCCTAATGCGGTTCCGCCAACAGGAGAAAGCCGTCGTGCATGAATGGTTCGCAGGTCAGGAGCACTCCGCTTGCGAGTGTAGGAAAGCTTCACGCTGACACTTGCATCGCAGGGTGTGAGACGCCCGGTCTACGAATATGATCGGTTTCATGAGCTCACTTCCACTTCGCTTCCTATCCATATCATGCGGTTATAGACCAGACAGAGGAAGTTCGAAGATTGGGAATGGGCCCTCTGCTCAGTGACCTCTCCCAGAAGATGCAAAACAAGGCGGACAAGGGTCCCAAGGATCCGGTCAAGCTTCTCATCCACAGCACACACGATACTAGTCTTGCAGCGTTATGCAATACGCTTGACGTATTTGATCAGCAGTCAGTGCTTCTCCCTCGAGTCATTGTGTCGTCATCCCCAGAAGCTCACGGAACATGATTCTCCCTAGTTGGCCGGGCTTCTCATCGGCGGTAAGCTTTGAGTTGTTCCGGAGAAAGGGGAAACAGCAGGAGCCAGCATCAATATGGCAAACCGTCCTTGCGCCGTTCCAGTGCCGATCAGATATTCCCTCGGAACATTGTGAGTGATGGCCGTCCCTGGCAACCTCCTTTCCATAAGCTGATTTCGTGCGGTTTGCATGACGATAGACGTACGGATGCGATACCAAAACCGAGATTTGACGCTGCCAATATGTGCGCACAAGGGCAAACATCTCCCAGGCGCGCCGGAGTTCTGTACGCTAGGAGCGTTTCGTGAACGCGTGAGGGAGCTTACACCGGTCAACTGGGAGGAGGAGTGCGCGCCGACGGGCCAGTCGAGCAGACCCTGATGAGATGCAGCGATGAATGGAGCACACGACCTGTGGGATTTGACTACATATTATATCAGGTAGAGCGATACTATAAGATAGGCTTCTCGTTGAGCTTTCGGATAGTATCTTATTATGCTGGACAGTGCAAGGGATGCACGAGCTTTGTCCCGCCGGCATCACACGGTTGCGGTAATGCAATCACGCTGCCCTCAGCTCTGGATGATCCTAGGATGATGATCCAAGTCATTGAACACGGCGCAGGCCGGTGGCTCCGCGGACCGCGATTCACGTCCCTCGAGTTTCATCGCGCCCATCCACGTGACCGCGTCCGGTGTTTGAACTTTCTTGTACGGAACTTGACGGGAATCATGTTCCCTCTCACCATGCAGCACCTTCTCCAAGCCGAGCATTTATCTTCACCTTCAGGACGAGTCCTTCAGCCTTCGTTAGTGTCACTAACGTGACACTACGCAATGCGCTACAATTTGAGACTCTGTGGCCCCCAGACACCGCGTCGGCTTGGCCGTCACGTTGTCCAGCAACATCAATGTTTCGCATGCGTACATGCAGTATATTCGGCTCTCCGTTGCAGTTCGTCGTCCATGCATGGCCGCACATCCTCTATGTATATCCGAACGCTTGTGCTCGGGTCACCTGCAATGAGGATGTCGGATGTAAACCCAGGGTCGGAGTAGTCGGGCAGCCATCTGTTCCCATGACCAGCGAGCGCATCATAACCCGCTAGGTCAAGTGCTGCACTAACGCGCCACGAATGCCAACACCGTTTTCGACTTGGATGTTGACAGCTCATCGATGGATATGCTCCTCTCCTGTGCTCGCAGTTCCTCCTCCACAAGCAGATCCGCTGCAATTCGGCTTGCCAGGCGGTCCATAGCGCTTTCCGCTGTCGAGGGGCCAAAGTACCCACCGCTTGTTCCCCATACTCTGCCAGAATACTTCGCGCAGGAGATCCTGGGCAAGCACAGCTCGCGGCCTGCATTGATATGCAGACAAGAGAGGCCGCGCCCGTACGGAGGGCCGATTTCATCCAACATGGGTGTCGCGCGACACCTGGCATGGGATTTCGAGGAGTTCAATAGGTACATACAGGCGCTTGCTAGGGGGCTGTTGGATCTGGGAGTGAAGAAGGGGGACCGTGTGGGGGTGGTGATGGGCAATAATAGGTGCGTTAGTGGTGAGTAATGCTTGTGTTTGCATGCACTGAGCACGTAATATTTCATTAGTGCATATGCGTCGTTGCAGTGGGCCTGTGCGAGCATAGGCGCGATTCTAGTGACGTTGAATCCAGCATACAGGCTACCCGAACTAGTATGTGGCATAAATTATTTGAGATAATCAGGCGGTGACGACGGTCATGCAGATCAGCACGCTGAAACTCGTCGGCATCAGTCACCTCTTCGTCGTCCCACATATTAGAACGTCGGCCTACGTCTCCATGCTATCCGACAGGTTCCCGTCTCTCAAGTACGCAGAGCCTGGGGACATACAGGAGGAAGCCCTCCCCGCATTACGTCACCTGATAGTAGTTGACAACACCGGTGACATGAGGAAGTTCCAGGAGCACATGGATGACGTGAGGTGTGCAGTGGATTTCCGCGAGGTGTTGGTATGGCGGGACGATGGTTCTGAGACGAAGCGCGTGGAGGAGATCTCAGCGACGCTGCGAAACGATGATGTGATCAATATGCAGTTCACTAGGTAAGCTCGTTCGTATATCACGCGTTGCCCTGCATCTGACGCGTTGCGAAAGTGGTACTACCGGGACACCCAAAGCTGTCTGTGTATGTTGCCTTTTCAAACATTGAGATTGGGCATGGTCTCAAGTAGAATTTGTAGCTCACGCATCGAAACCTCTTGAACAATGCGCTTGCAATAGGGAGCAATATGCGCTTGACCCCTTCTGACGTAGTCTGTAGGTATGTTCGGCTCTCTCGGTCATTCTCAAACTCACATTTACCTTTACGCTCGCTCAGGCAATGTCCCTCCGCTATTCCACTGCTTTGATACGTATTCTCCCCTTTCCCCCGTGATTCAAAGCTAACCTCGTTGCCTTTTTGTCTGCGATATATACGCCTCGTCATAGGTAACCTTGCCGCATGGGCGCACGGAGCCTCCATTGTCTACCCATCCGAGATCTACAGCGCACCCGCCATCGTGGACGCCATCGTCAGCGAGAGCTGCACTACGCTGCATGGCGTACCGACGCACTTCCTCGGGGTGCTTGCGGAGGTGCTCGCTCGGCGGGAGGCGGGCGATGAGGTCGATACGCGGTCGCTCAGGTGGGTTCCTTGCTGCTGGCCTGAGGCACGAGTTGACGTCCGAGGCGCAACAGGACGGGCGTCGCGTCGGGCGCGCCGATACCGATTGATTTGATGAAGCAGTTGATCGCGACGCTGAACTTGAGGGATCTAACGGTGGCATATGGAATGAGTATGTGTTCCTCGCTAATGTCGTACTTCCATCGATAACGTTTTTATGCGCTTATCAGCCGAAACTAGGTTAGACGTCCTAATTCGATGTGAGCCTCGCAGCTCCGCTGACTGCGATGCATGTGCAGCCCGGTAGCGTTTCAAAGCACGCCCGATGGCCCGATCATCAAGCGCGTTGAGACCGTAGGTAGGCCACTGGCGCACGTGAAGGCGAAGATCGTCGATGATGAGGGGAATGTTGTTCCCATCGGGCAGCCCGGGGAGGTTGTTGTGTCGGGATATTTGGTGCAGAAAGGGTGAGTTGTTGTACCTCTGCTGCTAGATCACACGTATCAACGTGGTTGTAGGTATTGGGAAGATGAGGAGCAAACTAAGAGGGTGATGCGGAGAGATAAGGATGGGGTTCTGTGGATGCATACGGGCGATAAGGGTATATTGGATGAGGAGCGGTATCTGAGAAGTACGTCGTTCACCTATTTCCACGCGGATGCTGAGCTGACCATGCGATGTGCAGTTGTGGGCAGGATCAAGGTATTTGAACGATCACTTCAAACCGATGGCAGGAGCTAACTACCTCGTGTTATCAGGACATTATTATCCGTGGTGGAGAGGTGAGACAATGATGGGCTTTTTGCCAAGGTTACAGCATAGCTCACTGTCCTGCGCAGAACCTTTTTCCCGTGCAGATTGAGAACGTGCTAACGGGACACCCCTCGATACGCGAAGCTGCTGCCGTTGCAGTGCCTGACGTCCGTCTAGGCGAGGTTGTTGGTGCGTGGATCGTGCGAGAATCGAACACGATGACGCTGTCGAGAGAAGATGTGAGAGGAATTGTTGCGCGGAGCATGAACCCTCAGGTGAGCATCGGGCATGTGGCCAGTGATGTCCATTCGCTAACGTCTGGGTCCTCCAGAATGCACCGGCGTGGGTGTGGTTTGCAGGAGAGGACGGCGTACCGGAGGAAGTCCCCAAGACAGCCAGCGGAAAGGTCATGAAGCACGTCCTCCGCTCGTGGATCAAGGATCTCGCAAAGCAGAATGTCGGGCGGGTGGAGACGTCTAAAAGCAATGACCGCAATGGTGGGGCAGGCTCTTATTCAAGATGAGAGCGACTGCCCTTTGGGTATTGAAATACACTGCAATAATAATTCTATAGGCTTATCGATGACACGAGACGTGTCTTTCTGAATGCACACGTCTTGCGAGCCCTTCTATCGTGTAAGAGAGTCGCATGGCGTCGCTTGAACAGGAGCTTAGAAAAAGGTGACTGCGTACGGTTGCCTGACGCTACTCATCAAGCGCAGTCTCCGGAATGGGGTGCTGATATTCGCGTCGATACCAGCTCCCTTTCGGCAACGCCACGCAGAAAACGCGCACAGACATCCCAAAGCGGACAGGACGCGGCCCGTCACATATCACGGGACCGCGTTGCCGCGTCACAGCGTGGACATAAATTGCTCTTTGTGGCACTGACTTCCCGTTTCGCAGCGCCAGGTGACGTCACAATTCCCCGGAACACCGGCCGGCAAGCCCGATGGGCGGCGCGTGCTCACGACTGGCTCAGATAAATACCAGCTGGAAGAATTGCAATGCGTGTCTTCGTCTCTACTTCCATCTGCATTTTCGCATACACTCAGCACGTAAGAATTTTTGTCTACAATGCCGCAGGGAACGATGAGAGCGCTCTACTACGACCGAGTGCGTTGATCACTGCATGATCTCCGCGCGCGATAATCGCTGACGAACGATTGGATACAGCCCCAGCATTTTGAGGTCAAAGAGGTACCGATTCCAAAGTGCGGGGATGAAGACCTCCTTCTCAAAGGTGCGTGCTGATCGTTGTTCGTCCGTCGAACCGAGGTGTGAAACGTGAACGACAGTGACATGCTGTGGTGTCTGCGGGACGGACGCGCACATACACGACGGTGAATTCATCGCCAAGTTTCCGGTACGCTACGCATTTGCATCTTGCGCGGCCGGTGTAATGCTGACGCCCTTGATCAGCTCATCCCTGGCCATGAAGCCATTGGCAAGGTGGTGGAGATTGGCAAGGACGTGCAGGGCTTCGAGATCGGCGACCGTGTCGTCGCGGATGTTGGAATCTCTGTGCGTGCCCGCATATATGCGCGTGAATCGGCGTATATTGACGCATACATGCGCTGCAGTGCGAGCACTGCTTTTACTGCCGGCGGGGACAGCCCGTGCTTTGTGAGAACTTCAATGCCCGTGGAGTGACCATGGATGGTGGTTTCGCAGAGTACATCGTCTAGTACGTGATCTGCATGTTGGATTGACGCTGTGTGGTTCTGAACCCTTCAACAGCCACTCGAAGAAATGTTACAAGATTCACAATTTGACGGATGAGGAGTCGACGCTACTCGAACCTGCCGCATGCGCGATTCATGGTCTGGACAAATTGAGCCCGCCGGTCGGGATCGATGTCCTCCTGCTCGGCGCAGGTCCTACTGGCTTGATCCTCGCACAACTCCTCAAGTTGAACGGCGCGCACAAGGTCACCATCGCGGCAAATAAGGGCATCAAGATGGACATCGCGAAACAGCTGGAGGCGGGAGACGAGTACATCGAGCTGGATAGGCAGAACCCGGAAGCGCAGTGGGAGCAACTGAAGAAGGACAACCCCTATGGTTTCGATGTTGTCGTGGAGGCCACCGGCGTGGAGAAGCTCGCGCAAGAAAGCATCAATTATGTCAGGAGGGGAGGTACACTCATGATCTATGGTGTGTATGAAAATAAGGCGATGGTGCATTGGCCGCCGTCCAAGATCTTTGGTGATGAGATCAAGGTATGTGGACATGGTCTCTACACGCAGCGTCGCGCTAACAGAGCATATCTATAGATCATTGGCTCGTTCTCACAAGCATTCTGCTTCCCCCGTGCGGTCGCGTATCTTGATGGCGGTAAGGTCAAGGTCAAGGGAATGGTGAGTGCATCAGTTCTTCGTCTGTATTCGCAATAATGCATCGTCTGACGTACGGTCTAGGTTACGGATGTCTTCAAGCTTGAGGATTATCAGAAAGCATTGGACAAGATGAGCAGCCGCGGTGCATTGAAGATTGCTATCGTGCCGTGAAGACGAGAGGCGGCGTCAGAGAGTGTCTACGCAACTCAACTGTACGATAGAATTGTATTTCAAATGTAACAACAACATCGCCGAATTTCTCTTCGGCCTCGCAACTGCCTCGCATGTTACGATACCCGTACTACTAAGTGGAAACGTACGAAAAATGTCACTCTGGCGATAAACATTTTTCCCTTACGTCCTGGGAACACCAAAAACAACCATGCCCAGTTCCTACACCTTCTGGCAAGTAATTTGGCCCGCTTTCACGCGGTCCGACGTTAAAGAGGATGATAGGCATCGTACGTGTACTAATTAGTCGAAAGACGTATCAGAAAGACACTATTACTCATCGGGTGTTCAAAGTTGAGGCCCTCACACAGCCTGCATAGATTTATTTTTCCACGGGAAACCTGATGCAAAAATGGTGAAAATATCTTATGTCTGGATATGGAAATAGTTTGGAAATTGGGCGGAGACAATTAAATTATGTTACGATTGTTTTACCGAAACGTATCAGCAATAGTGAAACTATTTCCCAAAGGAAGATATTTCAGTCCAAAAATATGTGATACCGATATGTTTCGGTGAAGCAATTGTAACGTAATTCAATTGTCTCCACACGATTTCCAAACTATTTGCATATGCAGACTTAAGATATTCTCACCATTTTTTCATCAGGTTTCCCGTGGAAAAATAAATCTGTGCAGGCTGTGTCAATCTTGGCATTCATAAGCAGCCAGATGAAGAAGGTGCATTCTATTAGGAACTTGTATCGGCTCGGGCGCAACAGAAATCCAAGACATGGCCCGTTGGATAGAACATAATATTTTATGGCCCACCAATTGAGAATGAGCCCCTTTTGCGAAAGGGACCGACAGAGACCCGAATGACGTGAAGAAGTATCATTCACAATTCACAAGACTGATGCAGGACGGCGGCTAGCCTCCTCGACAGGCAAGCAGCACGCAGCTGAAGAATAAGCCAACAAAAAGTATTCCGACACGGGGAATCGAACCCTGGGCTATCGCGTGAGAGGCGATAATGTTAGCCACTACACCATGTCGGACTGTAATGTAACATATCCGATACCATTTATTCAATACCATTCATTGCGATCAAATGGTAGTCAACGTTTCTATACTTCAACGAGAAAGCTAGTATTGAACCTGTTTAGTTGAACAAGTTTGTCGGTGATGTCAGTCTATGACGAGCAGCGCGGCGGAGTGTCGATGCTGTCAGTCTATGACGAACAGCGCGGAGGATCGCGAGGATAGCTGCTTACATAACCATCCACCTTATATACCGAGACTGAGATAGTACAGGTCCGAAAAAGTTGAGAAGCGTCGCGACAAAGGATACTCCTGCTTCAGTTCCTCCGTTGATTCGACTACAGCAATACTGTACATTTTGTACATATGAGTTGATATGAGTTGTTGATCACGGGTCGCGGGGACGCCCGACGTACGTTCGCATTAGTATCATCGCCAACTTGTCATGGCGTCAGAGGCTATTTTATCAGTCGTGTCACAGCCGTCAGTATGAGATGATGAAACATTCAAAATGATACATACGTATGGCAGTCAGTTGTATGGCTTGCGTTGGCATGCATTTTCTGTCAGCTCATTTCGGACGCAGAACCACGGAGCTTCAACTGTCCATTCACGTTATACGACTATGATACAGGACAAATGAACTGTGGTCGGCTTCGCTAGCCATCTTTTTGCACACGGTGATGATGTTTGACACGGCGTCTACGACTGTGTCGTTCCAGGTCCTCTGCCTGCTTGAAGAACCGGCCACAACAAGCATACACCGCATGCTGTGACTCACGCAGGTGATCTTGCAGGTCGGCGATAGAGGCGCACTGCACCTTGCAATATCCACATACACGCCTGTGAACCATCCTTTTGGAGAACGTATGCCTCCGATTTCCCGTTTCTGCAAAACCTGTTAGGGGTGGGGGTGGTCGGAAAAGTAGAGGGTGAACGTACGATTGTCTTCTATCCAAGTAAATGTATATGTTTCCGAGGCACTGTTGACAACGGCGGGTGCAGCTTGTTCCACAGATGTATCTGGCTGCGGTCGTGGTGACGGCAGCGATAGTGGTACAGCTGGCGATGGCGGCGGTCGTGCCGCTGCTGCTGGCGGTGGCGGGCGTAGGATGCGATTTGGGGAGGGTGAGGGCGCAGAGTGCCGCCGCGATGATCGCCTGTTTAGAGCTGGCCGGAATGTCCACAGCGTTGCTGTCGTTGCTGCTGCTCGCGGCGTCGATGGCCCTGGTAGTGGCGCCGCTGGTGTTGGCACTACCGGCGGTATCATACCGTTGGCGGGGGCGTTGGCAGCGAGGGTGCTGTTGGTGGTAGCAAAGGCACTGCGGATGGCACCAGCGAGGGTGCTGAAACCAAACGGCGAGTGTCCTGCTGGTGGCGGCAGCGTGACAGGCCGGAACGGTGCTGTCGGCGGTGGTACTCGTCTCACTAGCCCTGGTGCATACGGTGGTGGAGGCGCTCGTGGCCTGTTCAGAAGTGTAGGTGGCCTTCTTGGGCGTCGCGGCATTGGTACCAATCTGGGTGAGGGTGATCGTCGCGGCACTTGCGGTATCGCCGGTGGTAGGAAAGGTCGGACAAGTGCCTGCTCGTCACGTCGCGCAGCTTCGTCGAGCAGCATCTCCTCGTCCCAGAACTCACAGGCAGGCCCGCGGGAGCATCTTCCTCTTCTAACATCCCAAAGGGCTAGTGACGAAAGGTAGTCTCATCAAAAAGACAGCATCAGGGGAGAAAGCGAGGCCACGTACATCCACAATGGAAGCAGAATTCCGTCCTACAGCGGCAGGTCATATGATAGCAGCCGACCGTCAGCTCTATGATGAACTGACCATCGGATAGTCAGAGAGACGTGCAACGTCGCATGGGTGTCTACGTACCGAGCACTTCGGGCATCTACGCCATTGCTGTGCCTGGATAGCATCGACTTATTAAGTAACGGAGTGATCTCGAACATATAATCCATACCTTCATGAGCTGCAAGGTCTGCTGGTCCTCGGGGGATCTTTCATCTTCGGGTAAGGCCTGCGCGCTATCAACATTCAACTCATAACTCCTCGATCATATTATTTACCTGATATTCTTCGCAAGAGAAGCCTAAAAAGGGCACGTCAGCTACGTGGATGGGCAGGAGTGCGAATACGAACCCTCATGCCATAACACTTTACATGGTACACATATTGCGGTCGAACACACAGGGCAAGTTGCTTGTGGCGCATCCTCGTCATCGTGTGCTTCTACAATGGCAGAGCAACGAGGGTTCGGACAGTAGTAGCGAGGAATGCTGTCCAGCAACTTCTGATGATACTGAAAACGAGGAAAAAAGTATAAAATTCAGTCATCTAATATTTCTACCATTGGAAGCATACAAGTAGCGTTGACTCACCCACATAACCATGTCTGTCTGCGGCAGGATGCGCTCTGCAATCTCATCAGGTATCCCATCTGCCCACTCCGTGAGGGAGCATTCTGGACACCGAATAGGGAAGACAACAGTTTCAGGATTACCAGAGTTATCGTCATTAGGGTCAAGCTTGCTCCGTATATGTTTGCTCAAGCAATCGAGGCAGTATGCGTGTGAGCCGGGACACGGAAGGCGGAGCCCAAAAGGAAGACGCGACGAAGAATTAGCAGAAGCGGAGGCTTTGAGTGGAGAGTGTGTCGCCCTGAATGTTTCAAGGCAAATTCCGCAGGTCGGGTATAGAGGGTCTGTATCATTGCATTCGTCGTCGCTGATGACTATCACTGGAAAGTGATGCCAAAAGGCTGTAGCAGAGGGAGTAAGATGATGGAGCTGAAAGGCTCACCTTCTGGACTGCTGGGATGTTCAGTTCTTTGATGTTTTGCGCGAGGCAATTCTTCCTCGTCCGCAGGACTCGACAACCGACGCTTGCCTTTACCCTTCCCCTTGTCATTAGGATCGGGAGCCTGCCAGGGCGCTCCTTTAAATACTTGCCACACTCGCTGATGGCAAATCAAAACCCACCAGAAGTTGTTCGATTACTTCCGGACCAAGCACACTACAAAATCGTAAGAACAGCTCCAACGTGTTCAACGCATTGATCTATATCTTCTCACCTTTCCGCATCCCTGAAGTTTGCAGTATCAATGTCATTATCGCCACGGTCAGTCGCCTCCTGTAGCCGCCGTGCAAACTCGGAATCAAGCAATAACTTCTTGTCTGCTGCGACGAGCTGTTGGGCATACTGCAGATCTGCAGTAGCGCTTGCATTATGGGAATGTTGTAGGGATTGTGCCAGTGCCGCGTCTCGACTGAGGCGTACAGTTTCTGCGAATAGCTGGATCGCAAGATCGTTGTCATCACACAGCATCTCTTCATCCGATTCCTCCCTCTGAGGAGCCTTCCCTTTGCCAGGGGCAGAGTCGGTGATTATCTCTGCTAGCTGTGCTTTCTGTGCCGCCTGAAATCCGATCATCGTCTGGACGTCATCATCCAACAACTGGGCGATCAGTAGCTCCGATAAAACGTCGGCGTCACCTGATGACATGGTTGGACGGCTTGTCGACAGATGGACCACCCAAGATGTTGAGGTGAGCGTTGAACTTTGCCATGAGGCTCAGCGCACGTTGTGATGCTCCCAGGCGCTCACCTCTAATCGAGGTCGCATCTTTACCCACGCAGGCCCGAGAGGGCGAGCTAGATTCCTTCGTGGTCGCCGAGTCACAGCGCTAGCACCTGAGTCCGCTCACCTTCATCATTTATGTATGGTTTCATTTAGAACATGGTCAATTGTGGCTGCCAGAAAGATTGTTGTATAGCTACTACAACCAACGTCACCTGCCGTCCGCTCAGGTAAAGATCAGCATCAAATTCCACTTCGTCCCACCGCTCTCGCTGCTGAGCTGTTCGCAAGCTTTGGCAGCTTTTTTTCCGCGTTCGGTGAGGTCGGCTCGGGCAAGAATTTCACCTGAATCAACCAGGCGAGATACTTGCCCATGAGCTCGTCATCCACCGTGCGATTCGTTTCACGCATATGAGGCGCAAGCAGGGCGCGCATGTTGCCGTCGTTCAATTCTGGTGCCTTTGTGCTGGTCGGAAGATCATCCAGCACGAAATACAGCAGCGGGAACAACGCATTGTCTTGCACCTCCATGACGTGCCGTTCCAGCTGAGAGCGCCACAAGAGATATTCACATCGCTCTGTCGCGAATCCATACCTCGCTAGAGATGAGAGGAAGTCGTTGAACGTTGGTCGTGGGTGCGCAGTAACGTGGAGTACAGTCAAGGCATCCCGAGGTGGAGGCAACGGCGCCAGTGCAGCAATTGCTGCACAACGAGCAACGTGGTCGACTGGAACCATGTTCACAGTGTTATTGATGTCAGGAACCAGTCCGAGCTGGATGCAGCCCTTGACCATCCTCCAGATGAAATCATCCGTGTTTGTGACTGAAGCAAGTTGATGTCAGTAAATTCGTGAAACACGTAGATGATACTACCAACCTGCAGACTCTGAATCACCGACGACGTAACCAGGTCGTAAGATGTGACCCTTGAGACCACGTCGTCCTCCTTCGAAGAGCAACTTCTCGGACACCCACTTGCTTTGCCCGTATCCTGTCTTCAAGGATGTCCTAGCACCCTCAAGATCATCACTTTCCGGGACCCCACCGAGGCTGTCTTGATCGCGTGACAGCGTGTCAGATAACTGAACATAGTACTCGGTGTCGATGGCAGAGGTTGATGACACAAAGACGAATAGCTTGGCCTTCCCGGTAGCGGCGAGATCCATGGCAGTGAGGGTTCCGAGCACGTTTGCCGGCCGCAATCGCTCATACGGATACACCCAGTGCACCTAAAATGCATCGAACCTTTAAATAACGACGATCTACAGACTGCGAACGCACGTACCAGAGCGCCATTGTGTACTATCGCATCTGCCTGTTGAGCGACGCGGTCCCACGTCTGCTGGTCCAAACCGAACCGCTCCTGATCTAAATCGCCCTTCACAACCTCCAACCGCCCCTGCTGCACCCATTGCTCATCCCAGACTCCACGACCACTCGCAGCATCCCGCAGACGCTGCAGCGCCTTCTCGGCGTCAGCCGCACGCACCAAGCAGATCACCTTCTTCACCCGCTCGGAACGGGACAGCAAGTCCCGGAGGATGAACGCGCCCAAGAACCCAGTCGCGCCGGTGAGGAAGACTGTGAGTGGACGACTTGAGTAATCGGAGGAAACGCTTGGATAGGATGGTCGGAGCTTCGACAGCAATGTCTCATAATCCTCACTGTAAACCATCTTCTTGGGCACCACAGCCGGCTGTGGTGCCGCTGTTGGAGTTGATACCGCGGGTGGCGTTTTCTCACCCGCAATGCCCAGGTCAGCATTGCGCAGCTCGTCCACCGCTGCCGCAAGTGCCCCGATAGTTGGCTTCTCGAAGATGAGTCCAAGCGGCGCATCCACCAAGAAGGCCTTTCGGATCTCAAAGATGAGACGCGTGGCCAGAATTGAGTGGCCGCCGAGGTCGAAGAAGCTCTCGTCCAGCGGCAAAGGCGAGGGAGGATTCGGCAGGATGCGCGTCCATATGGCTCGGATAGCCTCCTCGGTAGGGTTGGCGGCAGGTCCACGGTGTTCCGCCGGTGCGGACTGCGCTGTATCAGGGAATGGCAAGGCGGGCTTGTCGATCTTGCCATTAGGGTTGAGCGGCATGCGCTTCAGTGGGACGAAGACTTTATGCAACACATCAGCATTGGCTCATAGCGGCCGACGAAAATCGACTCACGTGTAGGTACACTGTAACTGGGCAGCTTCTTTTTGAGATGCTCTCGGATGTCCTTGATGAGTTTTCTATATCTCCTCATCCCAATGACGACACCCTTTTCGTCCCCGCTCTCTGGAATATCGCTTTCGAACTCGTGCAGCGACGGACTAGCAACTGGCACGAAGTAGCTGACCAGAACCTTCTCCTCGTCCTTGTCTCGCCGCACAAGCGTCACATTCTCCCTGATGAACGGATGTTGGCTCAGGTACAAGTCGATCTCGCCCAGCTCGATGCGGAAGCCACGGATCTTCACCTGGTCGTCCGCACGACCTGTGCACTCGACGATGCCGTTGGGCAAGTAGCGTCCGAGGTCTCCTGAGCGGTACATCCGGTCCCGTATCCCCTTCCAGAACTGCGCCTCCGGGCCAGACCGATCCGAGCTCGGATCGCGGATGGTGTCTTTCCTCGGCGGTGCGTTGGCCGCGAACCAGTTGGTGACGAACTTCTTCACGGTGGCCTCGGTGTCTGAATAGCCCTCTGCAAGTCCACCAGAGCGGACATAGATCTCACCGACCTCGCCTACAGCACACGGCACGTTCTTGTCGTTGCGGTTCACGACGAGCAGCTGCACATCAATCATGCCCTCGCCGGCGGGCATGATCTCCTTCTGCGTGGCGAGGAATGTTGGGTTCTCCGAGACACTCGGGATGAGGAAGTACGAGACCGCACGCTGTGTCTCGGTCGTGCCGTACATGTTGACGATGCGCACGTTGGCGGCAAGGCATTGTAGGCGGAGGCAGTCGCGCTTAGTGAGCACATCACCGACGAAAAATGCGTTGCGGAGGGATGGGATTTGGCGCGTTGCCTGGGCAGAGAGGAGTTGCCCCATAGCAGGAGTGAGATGTGTCACGGTCACTTCGTTATCGTCCATCCACTCTGCGAGGCGTCCTGGAGTCCCAATGTCTTCCGCTGTCGGAACATACAGTCTTGCACCGAAGAATAGCGGAGTAAACACTACAAATTATTCAGAGAGCCATTAGATGTACGGTTCTAAGACCACTCACTATCGCGCTGAATGGGATCGTGAGCAATGCCGCTGAGCATGGTGAACTTTGAGTGCTCTCCGAGCCCGAACCTCTCACCCATCCAGGGGAAGAAGTGGGTCAAGCTGAAATGCCTTCCCTTCACGCCCTTGGGGATACCGGTGCTACCGCTAGTGAACGACAACGTTCCAACGCTGTCCGGACCCAGGACGACGTCGGGGTCCTTGTCAGCCAGGCTCTCCTGCGCTTTCAGCACATCCACGCCGTTCGCGCTCGGCCCACCGACGATCTTGCCGTCAGCCAGAAGTTCCAGCGCCGGTACCTCCACGCGGATTTGCAGCTCAGAAGAGATAAAGTCGTGTACAGGCGGGCTGATCTTGCCCGCGCCTTTGAGGATGACGAGCGCGCGGGGCTGTGCGACCTTCAAGTAGATTGTTTGCCTGGACGGAGGATATGCAGGATCTACGGAACATCACCCGGCGAGATGATCTGCGAGTGAGTTGCGAGTGCGTCCTGAGCTGACAAGACGAGATGAAGCACCTATGACTGAGAACGTAGCGCCGGCCTTGAGGACGGCCATCACGGCGACGACGAGCTCGACGCTGCGGTAGGCGTATACCATGACCACCTCTTCCCTCTGCACACCTCCTTGCAGCAGATGATGTGCCAGAATGTTCGACGCGTGCAAAATCGTCTGGTAGTCGAATGTCCTCTTCTCTTGCGGCGCGTCGAAGCTGGCAGGAGGCAGGCATTGGATAACACACGGCCGTTCCGGCCACCTGCGTGCATTACGCGAAAACACGTCCGTGATCGCACCCTTCCAATCACACCAGTTGAGGTCGGCCGTGGGATCTGGTAGGATCGCACGCTGGACAGGTGTCATCAAGGGTACGGAGCCGACGAGCACAACTGGATTCGCGGCGATCTTCCGCAGGAGGGTCGACAGCTGGTCCACGATGAACGTCATCCGCGCGGGCGTAAAAAGCAATGAATTGTACAGCAGGCGGAGGGTGATGTGCGGTGCGATGGAGCTGCGACTCGAGTCGTGCTGCCGAGAGACGAAGACGGTCAGGTCGGACGTCAGGCTCGTGCTTCGGAGAAAGTGCTCCTGCGGTGTGTCCTTCTCGTCAAAGAAACGGACGCGGAAAAGCGGCGCATGGCTGTCGGAAACATCACCCTTGTCTCTACCCAGCGCACGTACTATGGCATCGTACGGCAGGGCATCCGCCTCTGCCTCCTTCTCGACTTGCTGCACCTTGCGGACTACCGCCCAGAACGGATCGTCTGGGTTGACAGAAATGCGAAGGACGAGAGGATCGCGAGCAGAAGCTGATGATGAGCCGATGACCAGATCTGTGTCGCCAGTGTACCGGTGAAGGAGCACAGAGAAAGCTGCAAGCAGCAAGTGAAAAGGCGACGGTGTCTGGTTCTTTGCGACTGCCTCCTCCTCGTCATCTTCATCCTCGTTGTACAGAGCCAACTTCAAAAGTCCCAAGCATGTCTGTTCGGATAGGTCGGCAGAGAATGCCGCCTCCACCAGCCTATTCCCAGCTAGTCGAGGATAGTCCGTCGGAAGGGAGATCGACGGTAGGTTCTGCAGCCGCGATGCCACTCTGGCGACGCGCGGGTCCGCCATTGGGAGTCAAGAGCGCAAACCCAGCCCTGTATGCGCCGATAAGAGACTTTGACTGAATGAAAACAAGCAAAGCAGGTCGAGAGTACGGTCCTCGATGACTCGGGCGTATAATCCGAAAATTCACTTTGACGCGCATACACGCGGCCACGTGACATGTGTTCCTCGCGTGAATTAGACGCCCATTGTCGACGCGACTTGGCACGAAACACTACGTAACGTTCGATTCAATTCTTACCCGTAGAACCGTTTATAGTGAAAATGATCCGTAATATGCTAAGGTGTGCGAAAGCCAAGATGTTTTAAGATCTTTGTTGCTGCGATGCAGTAAAGTCACTGTGCGAGTTACATAGGAAATACAGTTGGATTCTTGCCATTCCGACCAGAGTCCATGTCCAGCTCAGGTCTATACGTCCAAGTTAATATGACTATCTTCTGGGCACAATCTTCATTCGAAACGAGCCTTCCAGGCGGCGCACGGAGGACAGATCAAGACAAGGCAGAACGTGGACCTAAGTGCAAGGCTTCTATCTTTGAGGGAACCCTGTTGAAAGTTCCGAAAATGTACGACCCTCCCTCGCTGAAGGAAAATGAAACTGCAGCTAAAGCAGCCAATGCGGAATATCCTACTTGACAACCTGATGGTTATGCGTTACGACGCCCACAAAACTGCCTTGTGGCAAATCTCAAAACCTCAATGAATTTACAAATGTTGAACTTGAGCGCTAGTTAGAGGAGCCGGCGTAGCATACGCCTTTCAAAAAGAAAGCTCCCTGTTCTAGTTCTGAGCCACCATCAACTATTCCTAGAAAGACGGTGTTAGTCCCCCCTCTTTCGAAATCCGTCACTCTGCCTGGCTCACCGTTCACATCGAGTCGACCCCGTTAGCCTGAAATCTTGAACTTGCCAAGGTATCGCACTGGGTCTATGCAACCGAGCAGACCACCCCAGCATTCGTTTGAGCATCAGCATGCGAAGGACTTGTGGCTGACATCTTGACGTCTTGAGCATCTTGATCGCACGCCCTTGGGAAACAAGCTCTCTGTGACAGCAATTCAATCGCAATGAATGAACGTCACAAAACTGGAACAAGGAGCCTCCTCTCCGGCGCTCCAGACTGACCAGTGCCCTCCTTGCTGTTATTGACTAACTATAATCAATGCCTCCGAACCAAAATTTTTGACATGACTGAAGAACCTTTCACACCTCGGCTGCCTTCTTTCCTGCAACAGGAAGGATTTTCTAGCCTCATGTGAGGACATAGGCTGCGTAGCGTCAGTTTTGACGGTATCCATCACCGCCCAGGCGCTACCGGCGTGCCTACCGTGATTCTTCGATTTCAACCCAAGTTAATTTCTTGTCTTTTTCACTCACTCCTTTGTCTTCATGCGAGTACTGATGAAGAGCAACTACGTTCTGGCGTCGAAACGATTGCGACGGTCAAAGACCTCACCGAGTCTCTCGGCCACGAGTTGAAAGTTGCAGACACGCGGAGTCGGGTACAAGTCGGATACACACGGCTCACAACTCATCTCCGACGACGCCCCAGCAAATGCTGTCCAGACATGCACATCCCTCTCTTCGCCACCTCAGCTGACGTCAGGCCACTCTTAATAGCGAGGTCTGCTGTTGATGCGATACGAGACACTCCCCAGGCGGCATCGCTCTCGCAGGAGCTCGACAGCAACGCAGCGTCTTATATCCGCGTTTCGGCCATCTCCATCGCGGCCTACGAGTGCGAGCGACTCTCGCTTGGATTTCTCATCTGAAGTCGCTAACCCTTTCAATAGTTACCTGGTGACCTTGCCTGCCGAGTGGAGGTTCTACAAAGGCCAGAAACTGCTGAGACTGAGTCCTGGTTGCATTTTGTTCATTTTGATACGGTAAGTCCTTCACGAAAACCCGCGAATGACCCCAATTGAGTGATGACCGGATCAGCTATCTGAGTGTCACTGTGTTGACGGTTGGCAGCGTCGGTTACTTTGGCGAATTTTCTGAGGAGGAGTGTCAGAGGTATTTCCTAGTGGGCCCGATATTCAAAGGTAAGCAAATAGCTCGCTTTCCGTGTCAATCGTGGACACTGATGGAGTGGCGGATGGCCTTGTGAAGTCTTGCAGACGATTGTCTCGCAGATTATCTTGGGATTGAGGTGAGTGCGCGGCTGATGGTAACAGTCACTGTGATTCATTGCGGGAACTGAGCGTTCAGATAAATTCCAGAACAGTTAATATTGCTCGGCGGTCAACATGGGTGACATGGACACTGCTTGTACTGTTTACTTGCGTATCAGCTGTGAGGCGACTCCTCGCCTGGCGTTGAGCCACGATAATTCTGACAAATGAATGTTATGTACCACAGGCGGAATTCCTCACGAATCTTTTTCATCGGGACTGTACGCGCTTTCCTACTTCCCGCGTGCTCACTCTATCTTAATAAGGAAGTCATTGCTCCGTAGATGTCCAAAATACTGTATGCACGCGAGCTACTTCCGTGTATCGTCATGATGTTTACGCTACTCATTCCCCAATGTTGTAGTCCCACAAGTGAGTAGTGCTTCGACATTGCATTCTGCCACTTTCGAGCTCATCTCGTCACTAGTTGTACCGGGGGAGAGCACTCAAAATACCTATCGACGTGGGTTTACTACGTCTTGGCGATGTTCTATGATGTCGTCACTCTTGGGATATCGACATTTTATTTAATACGTTATACTGAGCCATCTGGGAGGTGAGTCAGCCTGAGGATTTACTTCGAGATACAGGCTTAACGATATATGTAGACTATCTGAGCTCGTGAGACTGTATGTCATCTGCGGCCGCAAAATGCGTGTCTTTGACAAGATCGATCTGATGCAGGATGCTATATGATGGGATTGGGTATTTCGTCGTGTTGACGGGTGCGTAATTTTTGATATCAATATGACGTCTCCAATAATCCTTCTACTGGCGTTAGGTGTGAACATCTTCAATCTGCTGCTGTTCAGGACAACCGATGAGCTCACCCAGGTATGAGTCCGTATCGTGTCCAATGAGTCGTCCCATTTTGCTGAATCGTGTTCATGCAGGCTTCAGGGTGTGTGCATGCACTCGGATCGAAGACTTCTGAACGTGTCGGTTGATATTAACGTCTTTCTTGTACAGTACGTGTCTTGGTGAAGCCGTCACGTGGATCATGAGCCAAAGGATGCTCATTCATCTACGAGGTACGCCGCCTTGCGCCCCCAGCTTTTTTTGCGGCAGGTTTATTTTGCGCATACCCTTAGATGCCGCCGCAGAGCGCCGTCGTGTCACACACAACATATCGTGCCGTATACGTTCCGGCCGCTCGATCTCGTACGCGATGCGCTCACAGAGAGAGTCAGAACCGAAGGACGGACACCGGATCGATGAAGGCCTTGCGATCACGAATGCCGCAGAGGACGGGCACGCGAGCACGGTCGCCGAACTTGCGGATGTTGAGCTCAATGTGCATGTGGAGGTCGAGCACAGCGTGATAGTGGAGTGCGATGCACATGGTGACGGCGTCGGAGCGGAGGGTACTTGTGTCCATACCCGTCGTTCTAGGACGACATGGGTGGAAGGCGGGAAGGCGCCATCGAGCACGTTGGGGACGCTCGGATGCTGACCGTAGAAAAAGGCTCAGCGTGATAGAATACGTAGCCGACTTAACATCATGCGTTACCTATTGTGAGTAATCTCGTTTGGCTCATGGCTCACGGCGCAACGGCTCTTGACCCACTCTAGATTTGCGCGATTTTCATCCCCGTGTCTTTGTTCTTGTTGTGTATGCTTTCCTGTTTCTCTTTGCTCCATACAACTTAGAACGCATCTCCGCTTGACCATTAGAGGCGAGCACATTTCTCTGCACAATGCTCCCATTTCTTATCCCCATGCCACGATACCTATTCTACCACATACCTAATTCCTAATACATGCATCTTGGAACGTTGCCGTTCTGACTCTGCTGGAACGAAACGGGAAGACGCCGACCACTTTGATGTCCCGTCGCGAGCCAGACTCTCGAAATCCTCTTCTCCGCATACACCGATGTTTAATGTAACAGAATACAACAGAAGCTCTGTTGGAACATAGCCAAGCTCCTGGCGCTTAACTCACATCACTCGCTTGCTCCGGGGCTGCACGTGTTATAGGCGTCCTCGTTAGTGAGTCATCGTCGATCACTTCCGCTTCAAACGTCGATCATGATCTGATAGGATGGGCGCCCCGCTCATGAATGGTGGTATTGATGGCTTCCCGTCCATCCGTTCAGTCCGGATCAACTTGGCGACTTACGCACGGCGATAAACCTCCGCTCAGGTATCGTTAGTTGGCTCATATTTCCTATCCTGATGCATGTCGAACGCATCGGCTGATAACAGCTGCATAGCTAAGCGCAACTTGAAGGATAGCGTGACGAGAGTCCTGTAGCGGGCAGTGCAACCTCACGTCAAACCACACTCAGTGTCGGGGACAGAATCGATACAACCGTACGTATGTAAGATTTTCCATCACTATCTGATCGGGAGCTCACTTCGAACAACCCTCGGACGTAGCGCAGTGGCGGAGTCTCGGCTAACCCAAGGCTCCCTCGTGCATCTTCAGACGCCTCGAAGGTCTCCGCGACAATGAATTTCGGTCAGCGCCTTGCGGCACTCGAGGAGGACATGGAAAGCTTGACTACCTGCCGCTCGTACTAATTTTTGGCCTTGCTCACCTTGGCAATGTTTCAGCTACGATGCTCCTCGCGCATGATGTGCTGGATATTAGTGGTAAGTTCTATGGATATCTTACGATTATGCATTGTGGTGCTCATCCAGAATGCTTGTGCGAAAGGATTGCCTTGCTGCGTGGCTGAGCTCTTCATACTGGCTGTAAGAAATGTCTGTCCTCGCCAGAAACACACTCTGCAGAAGATGAGGGCATGATTATCCGCCTGCTTTTTGCACGAAGCTATGCCTGGAATCGTGAATGTAGCCATGTTTCACTCGAATCTTGGCATCAACATCACCGGTACATTTCAAGCTATTGCTTCCAGATCCTCAGGCCTTCTCGCGCGTGCGTGGCAAAGGCTGTTTTCGCTCCAATCATTCCGACCTCACCGCCTCGTCACCCGTCCCGACTCTAGCATTTTGCACCTTGGCGATGTTTCAGCTACAGGTCCTCTCGCAGGATCTCCGTATGGATTGATCTTAGAGGCTCTTGCTCCATGTATAAAAGCACTAGTTGCGTTGACGGGATAGCATCAACCTTCCTCGCCTCATTGCGTTCTTTGCTCTTCAATACCTCCTTCCGAGCTTCACTGCAAAAATGTCCCGTCTTGCTTTCCTCGTCGTTGCGCTCTCCGCACTCGCTTCCACAGTGTCCGCATCTCCTATCGCTGCGAACGCGACCGAGGTGCTCGACAAGCGTGTCACTCATGATGGCAAGGTGAGACCCATCCACAACCCCGTCGAAGTTCTTCCGACTGATCATATGCAGGCCACTTGGTACAACGTTGGCCTGGGTGCTTGCGGATACACAGACACCGACAACAAGCCGATCGTTGCCATCTCTCACCTCATCTACGGGAGCGGCGGTAACTGCAACCAAGTCCGTCCAATCCTTCTGTGCATTCACTTGCTCTGTATTCTGACGTTGGTCCCGTGGCAGTGGATTGCGATCACCAACAAGGCCAATGGGGTCACTAAGTACGGGCAGACCCGCGATGAATGCATGGGCTGCGGGCAGTCTGATATCGGTAAATTTGTTTTCAGATCGTGTCAACGGACGCTGATCGTGCTGCATAGACTTGAGTCCGTCATTGTTCGAGTCGCTCGGAGCGGACCTCGGCAAGGGTGTCTTGCAGGTCGAGTGGCACTTTGAGAACAAGGCTTGGAGCCCTTGATTGCTGTCTTTCGTTGTGAGAATGTGTACCGCTATATTTATTCGATGTTGCGACTGTTGCCTGCTGTCTTGTAACTTCGTCTGTTGTAGCGTCGGTTTATCCTGTGTAACTTGATCTTCCATATGACCCCCCTGCCGTACGTTAGCTTGAGAACTCGCGACTGCTTCTATTCAAGTTGTTGTCGAATATCCACTGCTGTTCATGTTCAGCTTGGCGGTCCAAGCCCACTGCGTTGTGGATTTCTCTTTCGTATCCTGGTCTTGCCGTGTCTCCCAGTTCTTACAGTGTAATTCCATCTTGTATGCGATATTTCCGAACGCCACGATCGTCAGCAAAGATAATACAACCAAAACGTCAGCGTGCCGCACAGAGTCAACAGTATCCGGTTGGCGAATACCATCATCGGCGTAGATGATATGGATTGGCATATCCTGTCTGTTTTCAGTCTCTCGATGCAAGGCGAATACCTTCAGAAGTTTAATACGATTGATGCGAAACGCTATGATCTTAATTCGAGATCGCAGCTGGAAGGGTCCTGTATAGTGTGCATCAAATATGCAAACAGACGGACAGCCTCCTCAGAACAGTCAGCTTCAGATGTTGTCTCGCATATTCTCTCGCTGTGGGGCCTGCGATGGTAATGCCGCACCAACCATGACACGTCCCAGGCGACTGGTGGGATGTATTAGATGCATCATGCCGCAGCGGGACCGCGTCGTGGATGTGTGGGTTGTCGTGGAAAGTTCGATTCGCACGCTCAATTGTGTCCAGTCCATACGCTCGGCGGCAAATGTTTGTCGACGCTCATACGGCAGTATTCTAAGCTTGGGACCTGGGATCGGTGACAACGTATCCGGCATGCCCGCGCGCAGTTATGGACTGGACATGGCAGCTTCAGTGGTCGACTTGACGCCGTGAGGGGTGGGTTAACCTTGTGAATGCATCTATGCAAAATAGCGTACAGTGACCAGGATTACACGGCAAACGCGTACATACAATGCTACAGTACAATGCAACCAATCAGCGCTGCATATAAATCCAAGGGAATATGACCCATCTACCATGCCAGGGCATTGAGGATGGCAGATGCATATGGGCAGACGTATACGCATGTCGCCGTGTACCGAGCAGCTCTCGCCCGACCTTTTTTGTGTCTGGATTATGTAGGACGGCTTCCCTAATCTCTGCTATCATATCCACGATAGGGTTCGCCGGAGCGTCCACGCGAGCCGAACGAACGCTTTCGGTCGCCGAAACCGTTGTCGTCTGAACGGCTAAACCGCTGCTGCTTGTCTCGAGGGTACTCAGCTTGTCGCCTCTCCCAAGGCGGCATTGCCCGCTCATTTGAGGAGTTGGAGTCTGGCTCGTATTCCCTGTTCGTCCTTTCACGCTTGGCCTTGACGCTGCCTCGGCCCTCCCAAGGAGAACTCCTCATCCCGCCCCTTGGAATGTACTCCTCACGCGGCTTGCCGAAGCGCTTGGTACGCCCGTCGTGCATGCCCACTTTAGTGAGGAATGCATCAGACACGTGCGGAGGCACAGGCAAACCGCACGCCTCTACTGTCCAGTCCTTTAGGCCCTCCAGGATGACATTGCGCTGAACACGCAGGTCGCCCGATCGCGAGGCGTAGTAACCCAACATAGATGCCATGGTTTCCCTGACCGCCTCTTCGTCAAGCTTGATCAAGAGATTCTTTATCTCGGTCGTCATATTTCCAAGGACAGCAGAGTATTCCTTCGGGAAGCGCAAACGAGAAGCTTTCTCGGAGTCTGCATTGACAGTCTCATAGAACGCAAAGGGGTCCTCGTCATACTGCTTAGCAAGAGTAGTGACCTGCTTTTCGAGCTCGCTGGTCGTCAGAGGCTTGAGCGGGACGTCCGTCAGCTGCCAAGTGACATAGCCCACTTCCCACGGCAAGAGAACCAAGTCAGCACGACCAGTCATTTCGTCGCCACGTCCGGTACGACCGACACGATGGATGTACTGATGAGCGTTGGAAGGAACACCAATCTGGATCACACGCGTGACTCCAGGGTAGTCGACTCCACGAGCAGACACATCAGAGGTTACGAGGATCGATGCACCCTTGCAATCGGCCCGGAACGAACTCGAAGTCCTCTCTCGGACCCGTTGGTCGCGTTGCGAATGCATTTCATACACCGTAGTATTCTCCCCAGCGGGGAGGACAGTCGACAACTTGCGGACGAGCGTCGAGAATAGCTGCGTCATCTTGGTCGTAGGGAAGAACACAATGCACTTCGACTTGCCCGCGTTGATGAGCTGATCATGCGCTAGAAGGCGGAGGAGGAACGGAATCTGGTGCGCAGCACTCGGAAGCACGGTGTGGTATTGAGGAATGTGGGCGTGCGTGGGCGGTGCATCACTTTCGACGCAATCGATGAGCGTGAAGTCTTTACCCATGGCAGTTCGTGCGACCTGTGAAACCCGGGTGTCGAGGGTAGCAGAGAACAGGAAGGTTTGTCGCTCAGGTTGAGGAGGCAGCGCCTTGACAATTGCGTCAATATCGTCGCGGAAACCCATGTCCAAGAGTGTATCGGCCTCATCCAAAATGAGCTGGACGTCGTTAATCAGACGATCAGTACCGGGACATTCTATGAACACAACAGCAGACGTACGATGCTCGTCCCTGCCAATCCATTGGCGACTTCTGGCTCGCTTTGAATGAAGTCGAGTATACGGCCTGGAGTTGAGACGACAATATCGCGCCGCCCTCGCATCCACTCCTGCATCTGCGCGCGTTTCGAGGCCCCGCCAACAAAGAGTCGAACTTCCATATCGTTGTGGTGAGTAGTGAGACGAAGAGCTTCGTTGGCGATTTGAGTCGCCAGTTCACGAGTAGGGCTGATGATCAAAGTACCAACGTTCTTACGAGAGAAAGCGCGTATCGCACGTGCCTCGAGATGTTTGTCGCTTTCAAGACCAGCATCTCTCACTGCTTGCTTGCCAACGCTCTGAAGCTGCCTGACGCGTCGCTCGATGGCGGGAACAAGGAAAGCTATTGTTTTACCTGTGCCCGTCCTCGCCTTTACTAAAAGATCGCGCGGTTTCCTCTTGCCTTCAGCCTCCTCAGGATTATAGGGTCTAACCAAGTCAGGCAATAACGGGAGCACAGCAGCTTGCACGGAAGTCATTTTCGTCAGCTTGAAAGGGGAGACGGTGATAGCCTTGAGAGTTTCCCTTGCGATCTTGTCCTTCAGCGAGACAAAATCGGGCTGGTCATTGTCCACCTTGGTAGGAGTATCCATCGGATCTGCCGGGGCTCCCCGGTCAGGATTGAACGGCTCCTCTTTCTCCGGTCGAGCAGCGAAAGCAGGTGACACGGTGCCCCATCGTCTGGCGGTAACCTGACCAGCCACGACTACGAAGATGTCAACAGAAATCTCTGCACGACGACAGAAGACATACCTGTGGCTTTTAGTGCGCAAGTACCAAGGCTCACTCGAGAACGTGAGGCCAACACCGATGTCGATGCTCGGGCAGCTCGGGCCCATATTGCAGCCGCCATCTTGTCGAGCTGAAGACGAGCTCGAGGCGGTAAGGAACTGAAAATGTCTCTCGCAAAAATGCGAGTATACGAATGTGCACGTGACCTTGGCATACACACGCATACACAAGTGCCTGGGCGCTTATTGCTCGTCCTCGTCCCTGTCTCAGCGCCGCATCTACCTGCACACCTCTTCGTAATGTCTTCCAAGCGCAAATGGGATCAGGCCGCCCCTGAAGAGGCAGAGACTCCGACAAAAGCACCTAAGATTGAGGAAGGGAAGACCGCGTCAGAAGCAGCGGCTGCTGCCGCCGCCATCGCTGCAAAAATTGCTGCTCAGTTCGCGAACTCTGGAGGTGCTGCTGGCGGCTCAGGGCTACCGAAGGATCCTCATGATGCGGACTTCACGCATGACATTGATATAAACGACGTGAGGAACCGGTACCTGCTCACGAAGGGTTCGACGCAGACGCAGGTGAGCATCTATAATGCTTGAACTATTGATGTGTCGAATCCGAGGCATGTCATGTAGATCCATGAGGAGACGGGTGCTTCAATAAGTACGAAGGGCGTTTGGTATCCGGATCGATCCAAGGCGACAGAGAAGGATCCGCCTCTGTATTTACACATCTCGGCCACCACACAAGAGATACTACAGAGCGCGATTGACAAAGTGAATGAGTTGATTTCCATGGACATGGGCTCGCTGGTGGAGGACAAGAAGGACCGGATGAGGGAACGCGTGCGTGGTTTTCCTTTCAATCTGTCAATTTGCCCCTTACTGGCGTATTGTAGCGCAAATGGCCCGAAGAGAAGATTCCAGTTGGGATAGACTCCATCAGAAACTTTAACGTTCGAGCGAAGGTCGTTGGGCCTCAGGTATGGCATATCAAAATGGCCGTCTGACTCGACATGCGGTATCTGACGGTAACGCAGGGTATGTTCGTGAAATACATCCAGCAAGAGACTGGGACCCGCGTGCAAATAAAGGGAATCGGATCCGGCTTCGTCGATCAGGAGACTGGCCATGAACACGACGAACCTATGTACATCCACGTCACGTACGTTGTCTGTGCGCCTCCTTTATTCTCTGGCTCACGGGGTCTCTTAGTGGCCCGGATGATGGCCAAGTCGCGCGTGCGAAGGTCCTCACAGAAGACCTCCTAGAGGTTGTCCGCCAGGAACATTCCAAAGTTAAGGTGATCGTTCAACAACAACAGATGGAGCTGCACCAAGCACAAATCCAGTACGCCTACAGTGCCTATGCCGTATGTATATTTCGCTCATTCCTCTCTTTCTCTCCCTTGCATCCGTCATTGCCATTGACTATGATAGTCCCCTCTCGCTGCTCTTGCTATCAATATTATACCCGGCATGTACCCTCTGCGCGTGTGTTGCTAACGCTTTGATACTGTAGGGAGGATATGCGCCGCCACAACCGGGAAGTGCCCCGCCGCCACCGCCTCCAGGGGAGCAGCCTCCACCGCCACCGGATGGTGCTGCGGTGGCAGCCGGAGGATCTCCAGGACAGGCACAGGCAAACGCGGCACCGAATGCAAGCGACGCGGACGCTTATGCTGCGTACTGGTCAGTAGCGTGTTATAGTCTGTGTAAATGTTCGCTAATGGCTCGTTGTAGGGCTGCGTATGGCTACGATGTCAATTCGCCGGAATTCAAGGCGTGGCAGCAGCAACAATACGCAGCCTACTATGCACAGCAAGGATATGGTGCTGCTGGAGCGATGGGAAGTGCCCAGAGCCCCACGGCTCTGGGCGCCCCTCCGCCGAGCGAGCCTGCTCCGCCTCCGCCTCCTCCAGCGTAGCGCAAAGAGTGGTGGTGTTGCACTTGTTCGGTGTCTCATGCTGATCTATGCAGATGTCTTTTGGTATGGTGTCGTCTTATATCCGCTGCCGTGTTTTCTGCTGTCTTGCATGGCCGCGCTCATCGAGGTTCCTGGCGAGCGTATCGTGCGTGTAGTCGTAGGTTCTTTGTTCGCAGTCATCCTGCTCAATGTGTATAGCGTAGGGCAGTAGTGATGCAGTTTTTTTGCGGATAGGCAAGGCTGTACATTGATTCCCTTTTCCGTTGGCACGTTGGCTATCGGCGGTGACGTCGCTGTACCTGTCACAGCTAGAAGCAGTGAGTTGCTTATTTACCATGACCCCGAGTCGTCGCATTGTAAGTATGTATGTACTCGACGCCTCAGTTGAGAATCTTGGTAGCACTCACTCCGACACCGTTCCCTACTTTTTCGATGATCTCCTCCACACCCTTCTCTGCCCTGGCGAGCCCAAATCCATGTCCGACCTCCTTGTGACCCGCGACCACCCGCTGCCAGCCTTTCCCGTCGCCCTTCCTGTGCTCGATCGCTACCTTGCATACGCCTTCCATGGTCGTGATACTGCCGTCGTAGCCCAGCCCGCCTTTCTCTGGCGGCGCACGTGCTCGCGAGTCGTCAAAGATCAAATGCACGACCGTCAGCGAGAACATTGATGGCTGCAGAAAGACGATGTCGCCGCTGAGCGCGGGTACTAGGTGCGCGAGAGGTGCAAAGGACGACTGGGAGAGGAAATGGCGCAGGAGGTAGTAGGCCTCCACTGCGTGTGCCAACGCAAGCATTGTCGTGCATGACAAGTGCTTGAAGATCGCCTCACCTTTGCTCGCGAGCGTGAGCGCCTCGTATACCTCCCCGAAAGTGGGCGGCGGTCCCGCATCTGCGACGCAGAACGCCTGCCCGCCGATGTCCGGATTCGTACTCCCACGCTGCAGCTCGAGGAGGCGCTGCTCGTAACACAGATGTGCAAGCGAGCAGTTCTCAACGAATACGAATGACTGCATGATGTTCGCGATCCATGTCAGGTTCAGCTTCTTCACCAGGTATAGCCCCACGAGCAAGTCGCCGCCGGGCCCGTAGATGCCATTGCCCGGACGGATGCACCCCGTCCTCAGCACGCGGCCGCCGGATGGTGTGTTGTCGGCTGCACGTACGAGGCGTTCGCCCATGTGTTTTGAGACCGCGTAGTTCGAGAAATAGTCGTCATGTCGCGTCGGAATGAGGTTGTCATCGTCGTTGATGGGTTGCACGAAGTACTTTGGCTCCCTCTCCCAAGGCCATAGGCAGAAACGCGTGTTTCGTACGGAGATAGAACCCGAGGAAGTGTAGACGAGTATCGACGCGCCGATGCGGCGGGCGGCATCCAGGATGTTCTGCGTGCCCTTGACATTGACTTCCTCGGAGTATCGCAGCAGTGATCTCATGCGTTCGAAGAAGCGGATGGTGGCAGCAGTATGGAAGATAGTGACCTCGGGCTCAGGCTCGCCGGGTACATCAGAAGGAACAGGTGGCCACGGCTTGCTAAACGCAGCGTCGACTGCCTCTGCGTCTGATACGTCCACCTGCATGAAGTCCACATCCTTCGCAGTGCCTTCCATGAGGTCCTGACGGATAGGCGAGCGGATGTCGATGACTCTGATACGACGAGGGTCTTCACCGCGAGCCAGCAGATGCAAGACAATCCATCCGCCGAGGAAACCTGCCTATCCAAACTGTTCGCATAAGGAAGAAATTAACAGTAGATAAGAGCTCACCCCTCCAGTTACGATATACCTTCTGCCTGTCTTCGGTGGTAGCTTGTCACTGAGCAGAGAAGGCGGCGAGTCTGCGAGTCTGTCCACAGTGCGTTGTACGTCGCCCGCAATCCATCGCTTCGCAGAGAAGGCAGTGGCTGCGGAAGGCAGTCGACCTAGCTTTGAATCGTTGGCTCGAATATATAGTATGATGGCAAGCACTATGCCAACGGCGAGCCAGATCGTTGTGCCCATCTCGAGGGCGAGACAAGAAGGTCAGCGTTGAGAAGGCCGTTGCCGTGTATTTGTCGAAGTTGCGCCTCGGGATCACACAAATTTCTGACTTCCGGATCACCGAAATTGTATTGAGCTTCATGTCGACGTCGAAGAGAAGGTAAGAAAGCAAGGCGCAGGAGTGATTGGCGATCAGCGGCGAGTGCATGCGAAAGCGGTGCGGCGTAGTTGCGCGGTCGCCCTCTCATCAATTTGCGAGCAAAATCAGGCAAGATCTCTGCCCAATGCTGCAGCCTTCAGTTGGCCAACGCACCCTCATATATTTCCAATGATAGACGGTGACAGTGTGTATATTATATGAAAGTGCGATATGTCTCATCCCACCCTCTCCCCATACCCCCGACAACTACCAGCGCACCTGCAAAAAAAGGTCACGGGCCACTCAGCGCAACCTCCACGCCCGGCGGCGGGGTATCTGCGTGCCGCAGCTCGTCCTCGCTGACCATTGCATTCTCGGGGTGGGGCGGGTGGTAGTGCTTGAGCTGGTACTCCAGCTGCTCTTTGAGAACCTGCTGGCCTGAGGCCGCAGCGACAAAGCCGACGAAAGGCGGGGACGGGTTCAAAGGGCGCGTGCAGAACTCGGGGTGAGCTTGGAAACCGACAAAGTACGGGTGGTCTGAGTAAAATATCGTACATCAGCCAGCTTCCAGCACGAACTCGGACGAGTCGACGTACCGTGCAGCTCGAACACCTGCATCCGCTCGCCCTTCTCGTCTTTCCCAATGAAGGCCAGGCCGCTCGCGCTGAGCTTCTCAATGTATGCCGGGTTGACCTCGTAGCGATGGCGGTGACGCTCCCAGATCTTGCCTGCGCCGCCGTATAGCTTGCGCACCTTGCACCACTTCTCGCTCTCGGGCTCGAACACCGTCGGACGCAAGCCGAGACGCATCGTGCCGCCCATGTGGGTTTTTGAAATCTCAGGCATGAAGATGACGACGGGGTGCTTGGCTTCGGCATCGAACTCGGTTGAGGTAGCACCTGTAAAAATATTAGTATAAACTGACGCAAAAGAGGCCATGATATATCATGGAACCTCACCTGCGAGTCCGCAGACGTTCCTAGCCCACTCAACAACGGCGAGCTGGAAGCCAAAACAGATGCCTAGGAAGGGTATATTCTGTTCTCGGGCCCATTTGATTGCCAGCAACATGCCCTCGGTTCCACGCACACCGAATCCACCAGGCACCAGTATACCGCTATAGGGAACGCAATATCAAGAACAACTTCTGTATGATAGAGCGCACAACTCGTACCATGCCGAAACGACGGCTTTCCACGCATCATGGTATTTTGCTGGACTGGTGATCTGCGTCTCGGGCTCCAGATCTGACGAGTCTACCCACTACGATGAGAGGTAAAAGTCGGCCTAGGGCTACCTCCTCTAGGATATGATGTTAACGTACCTTTAGGATGAGCCGTCTATTACACCTGAAAGCGGAGTGTTCCAGGGATTTTGTGACGGACATGTACGAGTCCTGCAGATCGGTGTACTTGCCGACAAGGACGATGGTCACGTCATCAAACACACGCTCTTGCCTATGGGCACGTCGCATTGTTAGCGCATTTCACCTCTCAGCGCATTAAAGGGCAAACGCACCGCTTCGTGAGCTCTTTCCATCTCGTCCCGATGTCCTCACCTCTGTCCTTCATCTCCTGTGTAAGTTTGATACTATCAAGATTGAGGCGTTTTTGCAAGTACTCTACGATCCCTTGTGACTGCAAAAGCAGTGGAACGTGGTACACAGAAGACACATCGTGCACGCCGATGACTTGCTCCGGCGCGACATGACAGAACATGGAGATTTTTGCTTTCGTGGCGGGATCAAGGGGTTTTTGGACAATGAGACGGCAGGCAATCTGATGCTAGAACTAAGCAATGGATTTCAAAGGCGATGAAGTGCACGTACGAGATCAGCGAGAAGACCGAGACCACGAAGCGCGTGCACGGTTGTCTGGGTGGGTTTTGTTTTTTGCTCCCCGTGCATATCGGGTACGAGGGAGACATGAATGAGAGCGAAGTTCTCATGGCCGACACGGAACTGGAATTGACGCATGGCCTCAACGAAGGGAGCCGACTCTATATCACCAACGGTTCCTCCTAGCTGTATGCACGAGCAATATCAATTAAGCCGCTCCAGCACCAAGTTCTTATCGCGCACCTCGATAATGCAAACATCAGGCTCCTCTCCTGTTTCGTCAACGGGAATCTTCGAGACTCGCTCAATCCAGTCTTGGATGGCATTCGTGACATGAGGGACGATCTAATCAAACCATCTTCAGTCCAGTCAGGTCCATCGCGATGCGTATTGTATTGCTGAGGTTCAAGCTTTGGATATCCAGCAAGTGAAACTTACTTGGACAGTCTTCCCAAGATAATCCCCTCGCCGCTAGAACTTCCTTCAGCAACCTCGACCAGTCAAAGCAATGCCGATCGACAAACCTCCTTCTCTATCACCTCTCGATAGATCTTTCCAGTCGTGATGTTGTTATCGCGAGACAACGTAACATCCAGATATCGTTCGTAGTTGCCGAGATCAAGGTCGACTTCACCACCGTCATTCAAGACATACACCTCGCCTAATGTCTCTCTTAGAACTGTTCAGGAGCGCTCACACCAAGCATGCCCTCACCATGCTCCTGTGGCCGCATCGTTCCCGCATCTATGTTCATGTATGGGTCAATCTTGATGGCCGTGACCTTCAAGCCAGTCGTCTTCAGGAGCAAGCCTGTCGAGGAGGCTACAAGAACACTTGAACATAATCTGAGCTGACAGAGGCGATACGCTGGGGCGTACCAATCACGCCCTTCCCGATGCCGCTTACGACACCGCCCGAGACGAGGATGTACTTGGTCATTTCAGACGATGGTGTTGGTGGCGCAGAGCACGAGTCTGCAAAAGCGCTAAATTTGAGGCGCCCGCCAACCTATCCAGACGCGTGACGCGACGCGTCCGTCACACTTAAATAACACTGCATCACGCTTGGGCCACTGCTCCGCGCTCGCAGCTGGCGACCATGTTGCTCGGAAACCACGCTGATTATCAATGAAAATGAGGTCCGTAATGTAAGCAGAGAGCCATCACAATAAGATATATTGCCAGTAATGTCCTGTGTTTCCCATATCGGTGAGCTTTACAACGTAAAGAGATCGATGCACTGATATCCGTTCACCGGCTTTGCATGAATTCTCAAGATCTCACAGCCCATCGTATTGCCTCGATTGGCACCACCTGAGCTACCCAATCTGTCATGAAGACAGTGGAACGCTGGATATGACTACTATCTGTTGACAATGCCACTGGACAGAGCGGCCTTGGTGTCAACAAAACCAATTCGGTTCCTCGCCTCGCAGCATCATGGAACGTGTTCGAAGCCGAGAATACCACGGAACTAACCGAGATATATGAACCATCTTTTCCACTATCGCTAAGTAGGGATCCTTCGCTCTCCTCGAATTTCTGAGGTCCTCATCATGGGCACCTACATCCAGTCATCTGTGATTGGAGGCTGCGATGGCACATACTTCAATGATCTGCACGAACTCACTGACAAAGATGGTGAGCGCCACACCCGTCCGCGCGAGTGAATCCATACATGGCTCCGCAGGCCAGCTCATGCTTGATCTCAATCATCCTATCACCCGCATTGAGATATCTTCCGGATGGCTTGTAGGTGCCTTTTCCCTGCGTCTGACTCCGACATCGACTCATGCACTATGATACTGAGGTCGATGGATTGAAAGTCACCTACAAGCTCAGGCATCCTGGCTTGAGCAATATCACGTTGACACATGGCAAGTTCTATGAGCCCAACATGTCCGCTTTCGATCTCAAAGGTGCGTCAAGGCTACTCGTCCCCAATCAACCCCTTTGAACCTTACACTCCCAGAGTCGGAAATGATTCTAGCTATCTACGGCCGTGCCGGTTATCAGGATGTCTACAAGCAAAAACTTGTCAATAGGATGAGCTTTGTCATATTCGACCAGCACACCGGAGACACTCGGGTCCTGGGTGTGCGTATTCGTCTTGAGAGCATTTGAGTATTCTTTGACCCGATCCTTTGAAGCCTTTTGGCAGCAAGCCTAAGTTTGCCAACTTTTTTAATGGCTCAACTTACCATGTAGCCAACGTGATGGCCTTCGCCGGGTATGACAATGGCGGGAATGTACAAAAAAGTGAGTCTTCTTTTCAGCGTAGAAACCGAAAAATCGTATTGAGTTCAAGACTCCATGCAGATGGAATCTCCGGTCTGTCTTTCTGCACGAACGTCACAAGCGAATTGAACTGCCTCTAGGCCATGTTGCCTCCCGATGCAGAGTGAATAACGCTTGTGACCTTCGACAGGCTGGATGCTGATATCCTACATTCAATATGGCTGTGACGGAATTGTACCATCGCTCCTCTCTTACACAGTCAGATCAGAGCCCGAGAAGGCTCCTTCGTAGCCACAGGACGAGGAGGCATGCGCGTCGACAGGCATTTTGTCCCTCGCAGCCGGAAGATCGCATTCATTCTGAGGCTAGATCTGGATGAGCTATGCAACTGAATCGACAATGTCGAAGTCAGACCGCTTTCGGCGTATTACGAATCGTGCATTCTTCGTGTGCTCCGCGGGGCCTCCCATTAGCTGTGTCATCTTTCAGTGAGTGAACGAGTTCAAATGTCTCTTACGAGGGAAGCAGCAATGAGGGACGATCGATGATCTGTGATTGTGCCTTCATACGAATTACTTTCTCTAAATGAAGATGTTTTATGTAATGTGAATGAATACATATATATATCGCTTTGAACCGGTAAACTGAGAAGATTCCCTCCGTTGCAGGCTCCATGAGCCTCAGGCACCCTCACGAGATAGGTAATGTAGTTCGATCGCCGTTAGCATTCTGAGGCACACGTATGGGTACAAAGTGCTTTCATGCCATAGATACGTACATCACACGCATTGCTTGCAGGCAACATGACAACGACAACGAAAGCATGAACCCTAAATGTCCAACGAGGAACAGGAATATGTAGAAAGCACGGGCTTCCAAAGAATGCGCACGGATATAACTGCACACTCCTGCAGATGACCTTCGTTTGCTCTAGCATCGATCGCTTGACAAGCACGACCACAAATGAAACAGGTCGCGTTGCTCAAAGTGATGCAATGGTGTGTTCCACATCGCTGTTTGGTTTGGATAGCTTGCGAATGCTAAGTACTGACCTCTGCCGGCGGAATTCACGAGTCCAACGAAACAGGCATGGAGAGGAAATGACGGCGCGCGGCACTCAAAGTGTAATGCCATTGAAACAGAGCAGATGAGAGACTTGAGAAACGCAAACGCTCGCGAACGCGGATATATATAAACATTGTCAGGTCACGTGCCAAAACACGCTCAACCAACAAACACCAGCGCTAGTGCTCCCTCCAGGAAACGGATTTGAGTCTACTCGAGTACGCAAACGGTCAATCACCCACTTCAGCAGCAGCATCAGCCATCGTATTCGACAAGATCCCGAAATCCCCGAACCCTCCCGCACACCTTTCACGAACCAAAACAATGCTGCAAGCTGGTCTCATCCAAAACGCACACAGCGACCTCGTCACCGACGCGTCCTACGATTTCTACGGACTCCACCTCGCGACGTCCAGCCTCGATCAACGGTGAACAAGTTCTCCTTGCGATACCGTGGCGTTGATTCAGCGTTTTGACACGTCTCATCACACCGCTAGGATCAAAGTATGGCAGCTAGACGATCCCACCGGAAACTGGGCCGTGCAGGACGACTGGAAGGTACGTGCTACCGTTCTTTCACGTTTTCGAACGCTGTTCACATGTAAGCCGGCGCAGGCGCACGACGCGGCCATATCCAAACTCAGCTGGGCCCACCCCGAGTTCGGCACCGTCCTCGCGTCTGGATCTTTCGACCGTACCGTGAAGGTATGGGAGCAGACGATCGTCGCAGACGCGGACGCCTCACAGATGAGCGGCGGCAACGCCGGCCCTTCGGGTGTCTCGCGCTGGGCAGAACGCGCGACGTTCGCCGAGGCGAAAGGGACGGTGCGCGGCGTCGAGTTTGCCCCTCACTATTTCGGTCTCAAGTTGGTGCGTATTCTCTCTCGCTCGCTCACACCGTCCTGGCCCGGCCCCCCTCCCCCCATCTACTACTCCGCCAGACAACTGTCTGAACTGCCCGCAGGCGACCATATCCTCCGACAACAACCTGCGTATATACGAGTGCCGGGAACAGCCGTCACTGACAACCTGGCAATTGCTAGATGAGATTGACGTCGTGTCTCTCTCGTCTGCATCTGCATCTACATCGCGCGCTGCTGCGCTGAATGCCACATCGTCGACGCCGACGCAACCGGCCGCGACGCTAGAAGCGGTGTCTGCCTCCCTGGCGCCCCATGCTGCACAACAGCAACAACAGTCCCAAGTGCCAAGTCGGCCGGGATTAGGCACTCGCGAGGTAGGCGTCAACGAAGGGCAATCTGGCTTTGGTGGTGCTGATTCCCGCGGGCAGGCTGACGGAGGATGGTGCATATCCTGGTGCAAAGATCGGTATTGGGGAGAGGTGATTGCTGCAGGTTGCGGCATCAACGGCGTCATCAAGGTACGTGTTATGTTGTCTCTCGCTCGCATTCGAGCGCCGCTCAGAGTCCCTGCAGGTCATCCAACTCCATCCATCCGGACGCGCAATGAACGTGCTGACCCTCGACCCGTCACCAACGGCGTACGCGTCTTCCGGCGAGGCCACCGCAAGGGGCACCTCGACGCCAACAGAAGGCGAGCCGCCGACGCCGTTCGCGATCACGTCCGTCGCGTGGGCGCCGTCGTGCGGGCGTTCGTACCACCTTGTCGCGACCGGGGGGCGGGACGGGCACGTACGGATCTGGCGCGTGAAGCCCCCGACGCCGGGCTCGGATACTGAGGGTGATGCGGATGCAGAGGAGAGCAGGTGGTCCGCGAGCGTTGTTGCTGATTTTGACGACCACAAGTGTGTGCCCCTCCAACTGCGTGCATGGGGACTGCTCTAACTTGAACTTCCTCCCGCTCCCTGCTTCGAAGATCGGCCGTCGGGCGAGTCGAGTGGAATGTCACGGGGTGCGGATCTAATCTTAGTGATTAGATGAGATAAGATGGGATTGACGATCATCGATTTGCAGAACCATCCTCTCGTCGGCAGGGAACGATGGGCGGGTGCGGTTATGGAAGATGACCGCGGGCAACGTCTGGAGGCCCGCGGGACACATCAGCGTTGAGCAGGCGGAGGAGGAGCAGGTGGACGTTGATATGGACGATAACGCGGTTGAGGACTAGACTATATTCGGTATGTTAATCGCCAGCTTCCTCCCGGGCCAGTTGTGTTCACCGGTTCTGGTCTCATCCGTGCACCGTGCACTACAGTCAGCAGGGGGCGCTGGTCCATGGTGTGCCACTGTCGCTGTCGTCGTTGCTGGATTTCTATGGCCTCGTACGTAAGATATGATTTCTAATGGCTGCGATGCAGTGATTGGCCGTCACCTCCTCGCATATCCTACATCCGATGGATAGAATGTTTGGGCTTGGCCTGTGCTCGGCCTTGAAAGTACGCATGTGGACGGATAATCCCGTCTCGCGGTGCAACCGGCCGCTCCCACCCATGTCCGGGTGGTCTTGAGAAAGGGCTTGGGTTCAATCTATCAGCGCAGCTGAGGTGGTGAGAACTGAGAGGTCGGATGTGCGCAACCGAGGTTCAAGGTTCACAACAGAAGCTCTCCCTTTTTTTTTCCGAATGAATAGTTCGAGCTGTCCTTGGCTGCTATAGTGCCCGACCGCTCCCTCCCCCGTCGCTGTGTGCGGCAAGGAGCGAACGAATAGATATCTTCTCATGAGATGTGTCAAATACAGATTCTGCCTTTCCTTTGCGAAACACGGTTGCTACACGAAAAGGCGCGTCCGTGAGTTTCGCGATGGCAATATACGCTAGTGCTTAGCTAGGGATGGGTTATGCCATCTTGAAACATTGACTGCGCAGCGTAGGCGCCCGCGCCTTACCGCCGGGATTAGTCTAAGTCGCAGATCGAATGCCCGCCCCGACGATGAGTTCAACCTCTTTTCTAACCCGATCATCGCAATCCCCGGAGTACATATGTGATGCGACACTCCCCGTCTCTCCTGCGGTCGGTCCCAAACTACTGTGCGAGTCTCCACGCGCCCTCCTTCCTCTGCGTGAGGGACTCGACCCTCCACCTCCGCCTCTCCCGCAGCCCGTCTGCCACCGGCCATGTCGTTCATCACAACGGTCCGGAGTGAGTGCCGTCTCCTTTGCGGTCTGCAGTGATGACTTATGTGATGATGATGGGGTTGCCAGTCGTGGCCACGGTCTGTGCTGCGGCGGCGATGTGCACGACCTCCCTTCGTTTGTGGTATCGGTACAGCCGAAGACACTTGGGATACGATGACGCCTGGGCTGCATTGGCGCTCGTGACTTACTGCTTCCTGCTTGCGGGTGCATATCTGCGATCGGACCGCACGGCCACGTACGAGCAGCGGGTCACTGGGTACTTTATGCTCAACGCGACGTTCACCACGGTCATATGGTGAGAATTATGAAGGGACACACCAGTCTATTATGCGACCGCCTGATGGGTGGTCCCCCCTTCTTCAGGTTCGCGCGGCTGAGCATATTGTTCTCGATCATGAGGATCATTCCGACTCTCATGGTTCTGCGGCGCTACGCGTACGCAGCGGCTGTCCTGTTCCTTGCAGAGTGGATTGTCCTGCTGGTCCAGAAGACGTGGACATGCGAGCACTATGATGCGTGGAAGACCGACCGCGCAGCGCAGTGCGTCATGGGCAATGCCGTCGGTGCGGTCGAGTTGGCCAGTAAGTGCCCCCCCAATCCTTTGTTCATTAGAATTGCTAATGGCGCATCGCGGTTCATAGCGGACATCTCCGCCGACCTCATTCTGGTCATCCTCCCCATCCGTCTGTTCTGGGACATCAGCATCTCCGAGCCGCGGCGCAAGCTCCTCATCACCATCTTTTCCGCAAGCCTCATCACCACCGTCGTCAGCGTGGTCCACGACGCTTACGAGCTCGGGCCCGACCGCAACGCCGAGGCCATCGCCGCACACGTCGAGGTGCGCATCCCCTTCGCCCCTTTCACGTTCCCCCAGCGCCTCCGCTCACCCGTCTCTGCCAGGCATCCACCTCACTCGTCATCTGCAACCTCGCCGTGCTCGTCACCTGGCTCGTCCGCGCGATCCGACAAATGGAGGACGTCGAGTCCGGCAGGACATCCGACTACACGTCGAGCAACAAGCATCGGCGCAACAAGAGCGGGCGCGACGGCACCGGCACCCGGCTTACGACCATTCGCTTCGAACAGCCTGCGATCGTGCTCAGTACGATGGACGAGTCCGCGAGCGACGCGTGCTCCAGCAAGACCGCCGCCGCCGCCGCCGCCGTGCGCGGCGAGCTTGAGGACCTCGCCCTCGATCCGGCCGCGGTGTCGTTTGCGGAGGTGAAGAAGCAGAATGAGCATCGCGATAGCTATGGCGATTCGGTCATATCAAAATGATCGGTGCGCGATCGCGCGCCGCTCGCCGCTCGGCCCGGCGGTACGGCTCCTCCCTCACCTGCATACGTATATATATCGCCTTTATTTGCTTGGGTACCATATGTTCTGCTAAGACGCGGCGAGGGCGCTGCGAAAAATTACGGCTAACTGTATTTTGTCGTTGTTACTTTTAGATGTTGCGTTGTCGTATCGTGCGCCGCGGTCGAGGATTGGAGAAGTCACTAGTCAGTGGTCGAGGATTCGCTGTTGCATTGTTGCGTGGATTTGGAACGCAAAGCGGAGGGCGGAAGGCACACCTCACCGTGTATATTATCCCCAGGCACTTGCCTAGCTCGGCTATCGCCTTGCAATATTGGTTCATGATGGATGGTTACCGGTGTTCACCCCGCGCAAGTTACGCGCCATCTCAAGGAATGAGGCGTTCAAGCCGATTACTTCACCCTACTCAAAAACGAACGCATCCAACCACTCGAACAACGCTCGCTGGCGTTCGTGTACACGTGCACGTCACTGCGGCCTCACCGCGATCTTCACGGCCTCGCGGCTGTTCAGCTTATCCAGCGCCTTTTGGTATTCCGCGATCGTGAAGACATCCGTCACCTATGGCAACCAGGGAGACCCATCAGTGCTCAGCTGTCGCGGGACGACGGTCGCCGCAGGTACTGGTATAGCGAGCGACTAATCCGGCTTACCATGCCCTTGATGCGGATCTTCCCGCTATCTAGGTACTGCACCGCGCGAGGGAAGCAGTGCGTCTGTGCGAAGGAGCCGATGATCTATGCGGGTGCAGCTCGTCAGGTCTCGATTTGATTTCTCTTTTATGGACGCGTTGGACGGGCGAACGCGCACTACACCTGAGGAGTGCCGTTCAAAGAGGTGAGTCGTTCTCCGAAGATGTGCGACATACCACAGCAAACGACTAAAGTCCCCACAACAGTCAGTCACTTTCGTTTTCTGTAGATGCAACGTGAAGAGGAGCTTACCTTTGAAGAGCACGTCGTCGTCTCCAGCCCGCAGAACGGGCACTTGGCGCACATCAAACCTTTACGGCTGCTGGGTGTTTGAGCCCGTGCTCCGCATCGAACGTGAACGCGCCACGCACTTCGTAGTACACGGCTCATCACATAAATATTGTGAACGTGAAGTGCCGGCTACAGAATTTGTGACCATTGTGTGACCGCGCTCGTCGTAGCGGGCGCTGCCGGCACCGGCCCTACCACCTTATGTGTGTAATAAGTGAATTGGAAGCAGATGAGATGCGCCATCTACTCGACATCTACTTGAAATATGTGTGACATCAGTAGAATGCAATCATATTATACGATGCGAAATCTGCGATTTCACGGGAGTTGCCGGTCCTCTGTCAGCATCTCTTACTGCTTAGTAAGCAAGCGTTCGGCTCAACGCTCGCCTCTTTTCCTAATGATTCCTGCAACCTACCCTGGGGCCATTCCTACCTCAGCATTAGCGCAGCCATTTATCACTGAGCAGCTTGAGAAGATTGAAAAATCCCCTGCTTCGACAAACGACAAGAATCTACTCAGAGCCGCCATCTTATACGCACCATCCCTGCGCGGCAAGCTCAATATTGCATGGGCAGTACACGATGTTGGACCGGAACAATTGACTGACCTTGCGTACTACTACTGGACAAACATAATTGTGCGTGGTACGTTGCTTCTACTTTCCATGGTACAGCTCTGAATACGACGTGCGGTAGTTCGGTCCGCCGGAGGGAGAACACCAGCTCCCAGCAGTCATCCCTCTCGCAAAGATTTTGAACCGACTGTGAAACCTGAGCCTGCGAAGGGTCTCAGTGTCCTGAAGGCCGAGGTGTGTTTGCTTGTATCTGTACGCAGGCCGACTTTGACCTAGCTCATGCAGGCTCTGGTGCGCGATGGATACAAATGCGTCATAACCGAGAAAGTAGATTGGAAGCATGTAGCTGAAGTGAAGATCAGGACGGGCTTAGGCAAAGCGGAAGCAGCGCATATTATGCCTTTCAGTCTGAACGACTTCGAGGAGACGAACGTTCCCACGGTGCGCTACAATGGCTCCATGTGCGTTCTGAGAGACTCGAGTGCTCAGCAATGTGATAGCTGGCCAACAAGACTGCAATATGGACAGCCTTACAAGCATTTTCTGGTCGTATACTGGACGGTCTCAAGGGAAATGGCATCAACTCTCTGGAGAACGTGCTTACCCTTGAGGCTTGCATGCATCAGATGTTCGGTGAGCTTGTACTGGCCCTCGAACCCGTAGAGGTGAGTCTCGCTCATATCGCTTACCGAGTGTATTATGACTGAATGACCACAAATAAGGCAAAACCCAACGTTTACCGCATTCTCACTTGGGGTAACGCGACGGATTCTCGAGAATTTCTACCCGAAGTCGTCACTTTAAGTGACCATTCCAATTCTGGGAAGGCGTTGGTAAGCCTTTCTATTTCGCAAATTGCACCTTCATCCCTCATACCCATGGTCTTGTTTCATTCAGCCCAACCGGGCCTACTTATCACTTCATGCTGCAATATGTAAGGTTCTTCACGCGTCCGGCCGCGCAGAAGAGTTGGACAGAATTCTCGAGGATCTGAACGAGGGTGAGACGCCTGTCCTCTCACATGATGGTAGCACGGCAGATCTACTCGAGATAGCTCTACTGAGGGCCGTTGCGGTACACTGAATCATTCTTGCACGAGTGGAAATGTAATCTTGTCTCGTCGTGCCGCTTAGAATAATATGAGCACACACTGTAGCCAAAAGCTATCGCCCGTTGAGCTCGAAGATATATGATTGCCACTTCGATTCAGCCATAGAGCTCACCGGATTTGACGAAAGCACCCAAATCTCAAAGAGTTGCAACCAGAGCTGAAGAAGGAAAAGCTGCAGCTAAAGCAGGACAAATAAAGACGATCACAAAATGTTGAGCACGTACGCAACGATGCTATATGCTGCCATCCTGCGTTCCGTGTGGCTGAGAGAAGCGAATGAAAGATCGCCGACCGCTCACTACATACTCCTTCCCCGAACACGGTAGTAAAGAAAAGTTTCAAGCTGACCATTGACACGGGAGCCGAACTTTCCCACCCTCAGGCCTGATTGGCACGGGCCGATGGAGATTTACTGTTGCACTGTTGCGGGGATTGGCATGCAAAGCGGAGGGCGGAAGGCACACCTGACCATGTATATTATCCTCAGGCACTTGCCAGGCTCGGCTATCGCCTTGCAATATTGGTTCATGATGGATGGTTACCAGTGTTCACCACGAGTGAGGCGTTCAAGCCGATACGCTCGCTCGTACACGTCACTGCGGCCTCACCGCGATCTTCACGGCCTCGCGGCTGTTCAGCTTATCCAGCGCCTTTTGGTATTCCGCGATCGTGAAGACGTCCGTCACCTATGGCAGCCAGGGGCGATCCATCAGTGCTCAGCTGTCGCGGGACGGGTGTAGCGAGCGACTAATCCGGCTTACCATGCCTTTGATGCGGATCTTCCCGCTATCTAGGTATTGTACCGCGCGAGGGAAGCAATGCGTTTGCGCGAAGGAGCCGATGATCTACGCGGGAGCAGCTCGTGTCAGGTTTGGATTTTCTGGATGCGTGGGACGGGCGAACGCTCACTCACTCGGATTTCGTCCCCGAAGATCTTGGCTGGCGACCAGTGGACGGTCGACGAGCGGTCGTACACGCCGTAGATCATCAGCGTCCCGCCCCTGCGCACGTAGTTGATCGCGTCGTTCGCGACCTTTTCCGAGCCGGTTGCCTCAACCTACCAACACGCACAGGCGCGATCAAACCCATCCGTATCACACGACCGACCGACACACAGACACAGAAAAGGACACGCACGACGACATCAAACCCATACGGATACTCCTTCCTCAGCCGCTCCCACTGCGGCCCGGGATCCTCCCTATCAAGCTCAACATACGCGTCTCCCGCGTCGAGATTTATCGCCACCTGGGTCTTGATCCCCTTGTTCGCGGCGATGACGACGCGCATCGCGCCGTTGAGCTTGAGGAGCTGCGCGAGGATGAGGCCCGTGGGCCCCGCTCCGATCACGAGCGCCTCGACGCCCACTGGCGCGGAGAGCTGGTCCATCCCGTGGATGGCACATGCGGCGGGCTCGACGAGCGTCGCTTCTTCGTCGGTGAGGTTGTGGATCTTGTAGACTTTGCTGGCGTGGCTGACGAACGTGTCAGGGTCAGTTGGCGGGGTACGGGGTAACTTGCGAGGTGGGCGTTTGGATGAAGGGGTGTGCTTACAATGTGATGTATTCGCTAAAACCGCCGCGCTCGGCTGAGCTCACGCCCTTCCCGAGGAAGTTCTCGCAGAGGAGTGAGGTGCCTCTGCGGCAGTAGAAGCACGCGCCGCACTGGTCGACGCTGATGGCAGCTTCCACTTCGTGAGTATTTCTGAGGACTGACCGTTACGCCTGGATCTGCTACTACTCGGTCTCCCATGGCAAACCCGTGGACGTTCTTTCCGTAGTCTGCGACTATGCCGACGACTTCGTGGCCAGGGACCAGCTGATGGAAAGACGGCGTGACTTTGACTTTGAGAATACAAATGAGAATGTGACGGTTGCCTCACGGGAAATGTGGTGATGAACTCTCCGTCGTGTACGTGATTGTCGGTACCGCACACACCTAAGGAGCACCGTTCAAAGAGGTGAGTCGTTCTCCAAAGGTGTGCGACACACCACAGCAAACGACTAAAATCCCCACGATAGTCAGCCATTCTTATTTCGTGTGACTGCAACTTCAAGAAGAGCTTACCTTTGAACAACACATCGTCGTCTCCAACCTGCGGAACGGGCACTTGGCGCACGTCGAACTTTCGCGGCTGCTGGTTGCTTGAGCCCGTGCTCTGCATGGAACATGAACGCATCACGTACTTCTTCGTAGTACACGGCGTTCATCATTGCAGCAGACATACTGAAACAACCTGAGAATCTTGACTGGAAAGCTGCTAGGCCGATGACAAGAAGATGGATGTCAATGTGCTGATGCGCTATGATAACCCCCTGGCTGGCTATATAGTCCTGCGGGAGAGCTCACCTAATCGTGGACATGCTAGACAGTCCCAGTGACCGCTCCTCCGGACCGCGAATGTCGAGCCGGCGATAATTGCAAGTTGGCGAAGTTTGTCCGACTGATTGGCGCTGCGTGTACATGTCAGGAGGCTCGACGGTCTGTCTATGATTTCCTTGACCATCCATCGAGGAAACAATGTATCCCTGAAAGCAGGACAGTTCGTTGTGCAGCTCATCGCTCCGAAGATCGATTTTCGATTTCATGAAACTCACGCTATAAGTGTAAGTCCGTGATATGGTACAGTGAAGGAATGAGAACTTTGCGACTGGACGTAAATCGCTCACATCCTGCGGCTGTGAGGATTTAACCGGCACTAATTCATGAAAAGACTTGAACCGCACAAGGGGAAGAGCAATGATCGATCCTACCGCGGCTCTCCGAAACATTCGATGCCTGCGAGATGGTGGACATCCGCATTCTCTTGACTATACCCTCTATACAGAGGCAATGCGACTTAGCGGCAGTGCAAGAGAAAAGCGATGAGCGATCCTATCGCAGCTCTCTGAAAGAGCCAACGCATGTGAGGGAAAATTCGCATTCTTTTGGCCTTAACGGAACTATACACTCCATGTAGGGAATCGACGCAGCCTAGCGGCAGTGCAATTCGCTGGTAGCGTTCGTGTAGAATGATAGTCCGACGATTCCATCTGTTCTCATGATCATATCGTATTCGCGCCGCTGGTAAGGAGCCACTCACGATGTTGTTTGCCTTTAGTGCCGATGTCGTAGCCTGCAAAGGCTATAACATTGGATACATGGAAAGATGACCCACTGGACCGGTTGCTAGCTCCGGATCTGTTGTCACGAGTCTTGCACGGCAATGTGTTCAGTGCAGTATCCAAGCTCTCTCATTGCACGTACGTACGCCTAAAACACGCCAGCTTGCGTTCTGTTGGTCAAATATGATAAAGTCGATGCTGTTGATGAGCTTCTGCTTGTAGAAATATTGGTAACCAGCACGGCCATAGATAGCCAGGATGATCTCCGAATCTAGAATAGATATGAGCCCAGCGATCATCTCGATGAATAATAGTATCAGCCTTGACACACCTTTCAAGTCTATGGTTACGCAGTTGTCCTCGGAGTCAGAAAAACTGCCATGCGTCACCGTGAGATTCTTAAGGCCAGGATGTTTGAGTTAAGGCTCCAACATTTCTATCTATTTACTATGTTACATAGTTTTAACTGTTTACTATATCTGTTTATTTACAGTTGGGCCTGTACATAGTAAATAGATGTATATATATAGTATAAATAGTTTTATGATGATATAGG